GAATTTTGCCCAACCGTCCTATTCGTGATTTATACATTTTTAGAAGTACATATATATTACATAAATACATCACGTATACAGTTTTTAAAAAAAATTGTTTGAATAAATGAAAGTTGTTTTTAATTGTTTTTGTTTCTAACTAGACTGTCAATTTTATTTTTTCAAAATACTCTTAATTACTACAAATTTTGAGTTTGGAAATCTAACAAAATCTTTTTAACGTTCAAAGAGTGATAAAACATTGTTCGTTTTAAAAGGAAAGACCGGCTAGTTAATCTGAACGAAAAATGTAACTATAATTCAACAGTAAACTGACATTTTGATAAACACTTCTGTTAATCTGTGGAAAATGTTTGTGAACAATTAAACATTAAAGAAACCGATAATTTATTCCCGATGATCTAGAGTTAATTTAATGTTCCTAAGTAACAAATTATACACTAGTCAAATGGAGGGTTTTAAGATAAATTCAAGTGTACAAAAAATCTAACCTTTCAGGGTTCTCCCAGGTACCTTAGGTAAAATATTTACGATTAGAACCAAATATTAGGTGTACACCCTAAAAAGATAATTGAGTATCTTAGTTTTTCCACTGTATTTCTATTTAAATTTTCATCTAATAATTTCGAAATCCCTTTTTTCTAACAATTATTCTTAAAAACACCATTTAAAGGTCTAAACTGAACACATAAACTATAAGGTCGGATTTTATATGACATTGGCAGTCTTAAAGTGTTATTCTTCAAAGCTCGAAAATGGTAGGATATCACAGGAAATAAGCATTGAAAATATTATCTTGAGCATAAAACGATGAAAAATGCCTGCTTCCATGGTGGTTTATCTGGTTTAGATTTAACACTACCTGCTTCATCAAAAATCATACTTTTTCTGGTACTTTTTGCCAATTATTGAGTGAAATATACAAGCAATAAAATACTGCAAGAGTGCAAAACATACCAGCCTTACTGCAGAATCCGACCCTATGTTCTATTTCTTCAGTTTTGACCTTTAAATGGTGTTTTTATGAGCAATTGACATGATGCTCAATTATGTTTTACACCAAATAATTCATGAATATGTTACCTAAGGAGCCTGGAAGAACCCTGAAAGGTTAGATTTTTTGTACAATTAAATTTATCTTAAATACCTACACTTGACTAGTGTATAGTTAACAGTAGACTTTTTGTCACATTTTATGTCAGGTTTAATAAATAATTGTAAAAAGACTTTCTTTTGCGCCCAATTCCTTCGGGTGAACAAACAACTTACTCTCTTACTTAGAAATTATACTCCATAAAAACGTCTCATTGTGATCAAATGGATCCTAAAATTTTTCTATTTAATACTGTACTCTTGGTTCAAATATCTTACCTAGCCCGTTTCCCCCTTTAATACTAAGGAAAAATGCAATTTTCAAAGAATTGGTCGATTGTTCTAGTCTAATTAGGTTTGGTTGAGTAATGTTTATTATTCTGAACATGAAGGTCGTTTTTATGGTATTTTTTCAAATAAGTGCACATTCACTTAAAAGAATTTTGTTGAATAGGACGGAGAGCATATTATTTGCCCTGAGTGCGCCAGGAAGAAGATGATGGAGGAGATGGAACAGGAGTAGAAGGAGTTCATAACCAGGGACCTGGTGATGGAGTAGAGGGAGTTCATCACCAGGGATTTGGTGGAGGAGTAGAAGGAGTTCATCAACATGGACCTGGCGCAGGAGTAGAAGGAGTTCATCACCAGGAACCTGGAGGAGAAATAGAAGTAGTTCAACACCTGGCCCTGGTGTAGGAGTAGAGGGAGTTAATCACCAGGGACTTAGCGAAGGGGGGGGGGGGGGATCATCAGAGACAGAGTAGATTTTTTTGGGGTTTATGATATTCGAGAGTATTTAGTCTTTTTAAAATTTCCAGGGGCTGAATCTCCTCTTGAACCCCCTTAGAGGGGCACAGTTCCTAAAGGCCTCCCCCTTGTACTTGCCCCTTATGATTTTTTTTTCTCGGGAATTTAGACAATTTCCATTTTTTTAACAGCTCTGTTAATTAAACTTATGTACAATAATAAAAACAATATTTATTCAACAGCTCTGTTAAACTAATATACAATAATAAAATTCAATTTTCTTATTTCCAGTCAGTTCGTTGTTTTAATAAAGAATGCCCAGGAGGTTGTTATTTGCAATCTGCAATCTGCATTTTGCATTCTGAAATTTGCAATTTGTAATCTGCAATTTGCAATTTGCAACCTGCAATCTGCAATTTGCAACCTGTAATGTAAATAAACTGTTACTGTCCTCGTCTTAAAATCTGTAATTTAAAATTGTTTTTTGTTGACTAACAAATACATGTTTAGAAATATAAGTATGTAAAGATGGCAGTTAAGACCTAGAGGAAAAAAGAGATGGATTTAGCCATGGAAATACAAATACAAATTGTTTGGAAATTACAGGAACAGTATTTTTTTTGTTTGACAATTAACGACAATGTTTAAATGAAAAATTAACTATTGGTTGAATGAAAAGAAAACATGCTCCGACAAGAAAAAAAAACAGTTAATTGATTTTGTATCATTATTTTTTTTTGAAAGAAAAGATTAAAAACAATTAATGAAACATGTTTTTAATCATTTTCAACATTTTTAACTTAAGAACATGAATATGTTTGTGAAAAATGGAAACAATTTTAGACAAAAATCGATAAAAAATTTATATAAAAGAAGATTTTGTTATTTTTACATTATTATCATATATTACTTTTGCTGCATTTCGTAAAGTGTGGCAGTTGACAACATAAGAATAATACGATATTTTTAAATGCTCAATTATGAAATCCCCACCCTTACTTTGAATGACGCTCCCCCCTNGCCCCCCTGTACTAAATAATGCTAACTATTTGTACTTTTTTGGTGCAAGTCTGATCTCAAGTAATGGACCGGGGTTTTCCACAACAATAGAAAATACTAAACATGACACTATTTGTATTTAACGATAAACAGTGTAATCTATAACCGATAAACGTCAAAACAGTTGAAGGCCCATATTTTTTGTGGGACCTCATATAACCCCAGGAGAGGTCATGGATGCTCATATTTACAAGAAATTTTTTTTTAATTTGCGTGATTTAGCATCAATTAAAAGCTGAATATGAAGAAAACCGCGAAGCGCTCTTAAACAATTTAACACAGAACTGCGTAGACATCAAAGTAATTTATAAAATGTCGCCTTGACAATTTTCAATGGTTTTTTTACTATTATACCTAAATCTTAGTAATATTAAACATAAATAAACAGCTACGAAATATGCAGGAACAGTTTTAACTTTAAGAGCTTTATATAATTATTTAATTAAAAAACTAAATATCTGCAGTGTTTTATTATCTGTAGGTTTAGAAAACGACATTTGATAAATTCTTACGACGTCTCCGAAGTTCTGGGTGAAACTGTAGCCTAGTTATAAATATTATAATTGATAGATTACATTTTCATCTGTTTTTATCACTTTATCAACTTTCAGTGTTACATTTTTTCTGCTTTCGTAAACTAAAGCACGTGACGCGGAAATGAAAGGTTTTTTTTTACATCTGTAATTTAAAACACTTATGTTAATTTATCTTAAAATGACGAAACATTGTTTTTAAATGACATTTTATGGAACTTTTTTGTCTATAACATGAAACTTTTAAAGTAGTATTTTGTTTAGTTTTTTAATCGTGAATATTCAGCAACTAAAAATAATCCAAAGGAAGATTTCAGAATGATCTAAAACAAAATTAATTATCCCCTCCCTGCTAAATCTCTTTAGATGATTAATAAATAATTATTATTTTAGTTTAATTATATTACAAATTCTTCAATAATAAGTGTAGTGTAGTAGCTCACCGCAAACTAGACATTACTGGTGCAACTTTGTGAGTTGTGACCTCGTAGCTCCTCTAGCTATGAGTTTACGCACAAGAATGAGAAACAAAAAATTTAGTAGGTTACATACTAGAAATTTAAATTAATTGTTCTTCTCAAAAGTTCTTCTATTAGAGAAGTCATGATTTGAAAACGTATGTGATATAAATCTTCTGAGTAATTTAGTTTAGTTTGACGTGAGCGCAGATGCCTGGGGCACCAACCGTACTCATCAGAATAGGCCTTTGTTGCAAGAATTATACAACGTACCAAACACACATTTTTACCTTAAATCGGACGCTTTTAGCAGAAGTTAAAACAAACCACTGTATGGCTCAATTTTAATACTATAGTTTCAGTAGAAGTAACTATTTCCATTTATTCCATGATAGCGCCGATTAAAGGATTCGTATCTCTAATTGGATAAATGAGAATGAAAGAAAGATAGATGTTACCGCCATACTATTCCTATTGGTTCAGAATAGACAACAAACACATGACTGAAACCTGATTGGATAAGGCGCTAATGAACTCGGCATACATTAAACATTTTAAATAAGCCATCATAAACCAAGAAATTTGAACGTAAGTGAAAATCTTTAATATTTTCAATCATAACTCCTCTTATTGTAGACGAATGAGAAGGACAACAATGTTTTAAATTTCTGATATTTATCTGGATAAATTAGTTTAAATCATATTTGGGGGGGGGGGGAAATAAAACTAAAGGGTGTTAAAAAACCAAATATTTTTTTCTCTTACAGGCCTAGTCATTACCCGAACATAATGAAATTAATATCTCAATGTTTTTAGGATCTCTTGGAGTATTAGTTAGAACTTTATCAGATTTTGTCAACTCTGCTCTGAATAATGCTCTTTATCTCTTGAGCATGAAACTGATCAATGTACCTTGGAGTATATGGTTAGAAATTTATCAGATTTTGTCAACTCTGCTCTGAATAATGCTCTTTATCTCTTGAGCATGAAACTGATCAACGTACCTTTAAAACAAAGCTAAAGGAGGTCCAGAACTTGCTTAAAATGGACAAACATCTATTTAATTTTGTTTAATATAAGCCTAAAACTCTAAAAAGCAGTGTTATTTACCAGATACAAGTTCAGGGTGGAGATTATATAACCTTACTATCATTAAGAGATAAAGAGCATTTATTCAGAGCAGGGTTGACCAAATCCTATAATTTTTTAACCATGTCTTAAAGACACTGTGATATAAATTTTAATATGATTGACCATGTAAGAGAAGAAAGTGTGAAGTGTTTTTTTTTGTTTTTTTTTAACACCCTTTATATTTGCAAATGTTTTGGCTGTTGAGAGTGTACAAAGAATTTGATTTTCTAAATTTGAATTTTTATACCAGGAATAGGATAGAGCTTTAATAAAATAGTAAGACCTATAAAATGTGGAAAAGTAAGATGACTGTTTGAGTTTAATGATTTTAAATAGTTTAATGAATATAAAACACAGCATTTTTTTTATTTAAAACAAATTTGATTTTCAATCTACTGCAGTGAACAACAATAATTATATGTTAGATTGATTGCATGTCGTCTTCCCATTCTGAAGCTTTGTAGGTAAACTGTCACTGAATGGTATTAATTTTAGGTTTGCATCGGACAAATCTGCTATATGTACAACAAAACTGTTTTTATTCAAAACTAATTTGTTAATTTTCTGCTTGAATTGATTAGATGATTTTGATATTTAATAATAGCAATTGCGTGTCAGAACTCAGGAATGTCAGGATATGTTTTTTTTGGCACGAATAAAAATTGAATAAAATAACAATTTTTACTAGTTTTAAGAACGGAAATATAATTATTTTATGTTTTTTAATGAAATCTTTGTAAATTAAAGGAATTTAATTGTATAATTCAAGATTTTTTGTTTTGTGTTATATTTTTAATCTAAAAATTTGAAATCCTCTTGAAAAAAATAAAAATAGATCAATTTACATTTCAAGATAATTTTTCATATTTTCAAGTTCGTTGTCGCATATGCCATTCAATTTTATTAGATATTTACCATACGATGATACAGAGCATAGTTAATGGGAATGTTCGCGAAACAAGAAAGTATATCAATAACAATATTATTCTATCTGAATTGATAACAAATTATTTCCATCGAATTAAAAAAATCACAAAAGTCTCACTTTGGTAGTAATACCAACCTGTAGAGCTACCCATAGCTGATTTAAAACCCCCCCTCTAAATCCCATGTTTGATGTCCAAATATGACAAATGATACATCATTAGAAAGCTCTAGTGCTCTACTTTTAGAATCTGCAAAAAATTTGAAAATTTGCAAAAATTGAATTTTTTATCGCAAAATCCAGTTACATAGTAAAAATGTTTGCAAAAAAAATTTGTCCAAAAAATAGAAAACTAAACATTTTTGAAAAGCCCTTGACCATGCCATTTTAAATATGCAAAAAATTTGCAAAATTTTAAATAACCTAATTTTTAATCAAGAAAAACTAAAAATGTGCATATTTCCTTGGACAGGTTGTTTGCAAAAAATTAGCAATTCTTTTTCGCCAAACTTGTGCAACTTGTTTCTTTATGTCAAAGGCTTTCCAAAAAGCTAAATTTTATCAAAATCTAACAAGTGGAAGTGGGTCAAAACAAAGATTTAATTTGTTACAGGAAAAAGTAGTCATTCAGGCAGTGTGCCTGAGGACTCAGGCAGTTAGTATTAAATCCCGGTTATAGGCCTAAAGGCAGGGCTTTGGGTATGTAGGAGAAGTCAGAAAATTTTAACAGCTATAGACCAATACTTTTTGAGTTATGTAAAAAAAACTACAGGGGGGGGGGGTAAAATTGACCCCACCCCCAGCAGGAATAGGGTTTATATAAACCAGAAGAGCGAATATTTGACTGGTTTGATGTATCTGATATGTTTGGCTGGCTTCTTATAAGGTTTAAATATACACTGCACTTACTACTGAGGTATCATTTATCTTACTTAGCCAAGAAAAACACCTGGTATTACAGTATTATCCTTCAGGAATGTTGAATTTAATAAAGGGTGTCCTGGAATAAAAGATAAATAAAGGGTGTCCTGGGATAAATGATAAATAAAGGGTGTCTTGGGATATATGATAAATAGAGGGTGTCCTGGGATATATGATAAATAAAGGGTGTCCAGGGATATATAATAATTAAAGGGTGTCCTGGGATAAATGATAATTAAAGGGTGTCCTGGGATATATAATAAATAAAGGGTGTCTTGGGATAAATGATAAATAAAGGGTGTCCTGGGATATTTGATAAATAAAGGGTGTCCTGAGATAAATGATAAATAAAGGGTGTCCTTGGATAAAAGATAAATAAAGGCTGTCCTGGGATAAATTATAAATCAAGGGTGTCTTGGGATAAATGATAAATAAAGGGTGTCCAGGGATATATAATAATTAAAAGGTGTCCTTGGATATATAATAATTAAAGGGTGTCCTGGGATATATAATAATTAAAGGGTGTCCTGGGATAAATGATAATTAAAGGGTGTCCAGGGATATATGATGAATAAAGGGTGTCTTGGGATATTTGTTAAATAAAGAGATGCCTTGGGATAAATGATAAATAAATGGTGTCCTGGGATAAATGATAAATAAAGGGTGTCCTGGGATAAATGATAAATAAAGGGTGTCCTGGGATAAATGATGAATATAAAGGGAGTTCCAAGATAAATATGATAAATAAAGGGTGTCCTGGGATATATTATAAATAAAGGGTGTCCTGGGATAAATGATAAATAAAGGGTGTCCTGAGATAAATGATGAATATAATGGGAGTTCCAAGATAAATATGATAAACAAAGAGTGTCCTAGGTTAAATGATAAAAAAGGGTGTTCTGGTATAAATCATGAATAAAGGGTGTCAAAGAATAAATGATGAATGAAGGGTGTCCTAGGATAAATGATGAATATAGGGTGTCCTAGGACAAATGATGAATAAAGGGTGTCATAGGAAAAATGATGAATAAAGGGTGTCCTGGGAAAAATGATGAATGAAGGGTGTCCTAGGATAAATGATGAATAAAGGGTGTACTAGGATAAATGATGAATAAAGGGTGTCATAGGATTAATGATGAATAAAGGGTGTTCCAGGATAAATGATATTTGAAAAATGCGTTCCCTGTGTAAACAATGGACAAAGGTGCAACACATTTTCATTTATATATATATATACATTGGAAAATAAAATAAAATGTTAAAAACTAATGTTTGTAACCAAATAAACAACAATTTTAAAGCAAAGCATTAAATGCATTTTGTTATTATGGAAAATACCCATTTTTTACACGCAGGAACTGGCAAATGAAAATTTCGGTCAATTTCTAACTCGTACGATGCTGTAGTTATCCGCCAGTCGTTTTCTAAAAAATTCGTAATAAATACTTATTAGTTTTTCTAGAAGTAGTGCTACTTTTGTTCATGTAGCGTATTATTATTACCGCTTTAATGTACTATTTTTATAAAAAAAGATAAGCAAAGTTCGTCCTGGGTTCCCTAAGTATACAGTTGGAAGGATTTCGATAAAAAAAATGAAATAAAATATGGGTTAGGAAGATAATATGGAAGCAGTCTTATGCGTATTTGATGTTGTCAAATGGCAAAAGGTTTTATTAGTAGCTTCATAATGAATTTACATAGTAAAATTGGTCTAATTACATTGTACAGTTATGCTGTGTTTAATATTCATTTGACTACTGTAAATTATATCGTGTGTCTAAAAGTCGTCTTCCTATTCCACTGTGTTATGGTACCCAACGCACACAAACCCTATCCTCTCGCATATTATGAACATACAGGGTTACCCACAAAAAATAACACTGCAGAGACGACTGTAGGGAATTTTTACTGTTTCTTCACATTGATGATTCCCTACAATTGTAAACTTGTTTCTTTCTTTGCCAAATCTTTAAATCAACCATTTAATTGCTATTTTTAAGTCAGAAAACTAAATTTATATCTGATATCTTAAGAGTTTTTAAGTTGGCTCATTCTTTGTGGGTAACCCTGTAAATAAGAAGAAAATACAAAATCTTAATTGATGGGAAAATACGCGGTATTATCTATATGTAGTGAACAATGCAACATTAAGGAATCAAGGATGTTGGAACAATTTTAAACTGCATATAATTGTAGTTACAAATTAAGTTTATGTGTTTACAATTACGCAAAATTGCATTTCAAATGAATGGCTGCCAAAGATTTTAGTTGCATTAATTATAAACCCAAATTAACCCCAACCGTTCTCTTCGTTTATGAAAACGTAAAATTACAGGACAAACCCGGGTTTTTAGGTAATTATGTATCTTTCTACAAACAGTAGTGTTTATATAACAAATTTTTTGGCAACAAAAGTAACAAAAAATAGCTTTTTGAATCACTTTGAATTATTCAGATTAATTCAGATTGAACGATATCATTCCTCCCCCCCCCACTTCCCCTAAAAAATATTCCAATTGCGCCTGTTTAAGGGTCTTGACTCAAAAATAGGAGGATTAAGATCAATAAGATCAAGCAGAGCAATCTATGAAAACTGTGATAAAGATTTTTGAGGAAAATTTTTTTTATTTTAGATTAGTCTCATTCACAACCCGTCAAAAATAGTGTTAGCGATTTTATTTACTGACATTGTTAAAACACATAGCCCCAAGCACATAAAGTATTATTAGATCAACATGAAAATGGGTTTTTAAGTTAAGACTCAGTGAATTTTTTAACCAGTACCTATAGTTAACCCTTGAACCTTTCTGGAAGGTTCCCTCATCCCATGAATGACTGTTGTCCGCAATAAACCAGAAAAACGCTTGTATAACCTTAAACACTGCCAGTTTAAGAATTACGACTTACGTGGGGAATTTTGCCCAACCGTCCCGCCCCTTTTAGATCTGCCCCGCCCCCCTCTCACCGGGCAGTGAAGCACAAAGAATTTGACTGCTTTTTCCAGGCTACAGAAATCCAGTTTTGAACGAGGTGCCTCTGGCGATGATTGGCGCCCCTCCCACCTCGGCGCCTAGCATAGGCGCCGGCAAATTGGAACTAGAGTAGGTATATATAGGGAGGAAGTATGGATACTTTAAACAGTTATTCAACAGACACTACACAATGTTCAAGGTAGGTTTATATATAAACAAATATACTGCAATATTATGTATAAAGTGACATGTGTCTCACAAAAACAGACAAAACAGTTAAAAAAGAAAATCATACAGGGTTACCCTCAAAGGATGACACTTTATTAAATGTATTTAGTATTTTTTCATTCCTTTTTTCTAAACTTATGTTTTACCTCCTATGTTGTATAATCACTGGATCGATAATTTTATTTTAAAAAGTTTTAGATTAATTTTTAAAGCAGTATCATTCTTTGAGGGTAACCTATAAAACTAAATTTAATAGACAAAAACTTTTTGTTGCAAGGATGTGTTACTTAAAATATATCTTTAAAGGATGAAAAAATATTTTGTCTCACAATATGAATCTCTTTTTTTTGTCTCATTTATTTCATGGAATTTTGGAGGTAAACTTTTATTGTTTGAATATATAGATTTTTTAGCAAAAGTACTCTTTTATCCCAATAAAAATCACTTTTCTTTGAATCAAATATTTTAGTTTTTCATCCCAAATCTGTTCTATTTAACAGATAATCTGTTTTGTCAAGATACAAAGCAGTTGTTCTTTACAAAATATCCCTTTTACCTTAACTGAACTAGATCTCTTCTACATAATACAATATCTTTTTTGTCTCAATTGAATATCTTCTAGCGAAATCTTTCATTTTCAAGCTAAATCTCAATTCTTTTCTAATTTTCTTTTAAAAAAATCACTAATCAGTTTCCAAAAAAGCGAATTAAAAAAACATTTTTCGATTAAAAAGCATTACAGACTTAATTTCATCTGCTCAAAAATATCTCAGATCTTAGTAAAATGGTATTAGTATTTAGTATTGCAATATTTAAAGTAAACTGTTTTCTAGTGTTAAAGATTTGGATAAAAAGTCTTAAAATAGATACACTAAAAAAGGATTGAACATGTTCTTCAATGTTTCTAATTTCAGTTAGCACTTTCTTCCGTCCTTTTCGCAGCTGCCCTTGCCCGTCCTGATGGAGCAATCCCCAGCTATGGACCCCCTCCTCCAGCATACGCACCAGCACCTGCTTATGCTCCTGCCCCAGAATATGTTGACGAAGCCCCCAAGTACGCATTCACCTATGCCGTAAAGGACGACTACACATACACCAACTTTGACGCTGCTGAGCAGAGGGATGGTTATGACACCGCTGGGTCCTACAGGGTCGCCCTTCCTGATGGCAGAACCCAGATTGTTACTTACACCGCCAACAAGGTAAATTTAATTTTCTTCTTTTCAGAACAACCTGATTTTATGTTTTTGTTCGTTTAATTGCCACATATATATATATATATACTAAAGCTGTACAAAATGATACACCATGTAAACATTTTTCAAAATTAAGGGCTGAGCCTATCTTAACTGAATTAAGAATAAATCTACTTCCTTGTATGCGACACATTTAAATAGCTAGCTCAATCAAGCTGAAAACGTTACAGGATGATTATTCTGGATCAATTCCATGTGGAATAAACATCCTGTACACTCATTCAAACTTTTTACAGCTTTCAGAAAAGTTTTTTCAGGCATAAACAGATATATCCAAATTGAGCCTGAAAAGACCCTATTCAAGAACCATGGAAAAAGTGATTTTATGCCTTTTTTGTAGTATTTCCCCTGTATGTATGAATGCACTGCACGATCATTATTTCTCATAAAAATTCGTTTTTTACAGAAAAGGCATTTTTTCTTCTCTAATGATATTCTAACAAACAAACCCCAACCATATGATATACTTTGGTCAAAATGCATCTCAAGTCAGAAGTTTGAAGTCACTGAAACTGCGGTACAAAATTTATTTATTACCCAGATGATTTAAATTTATAGCTTTACAAATTATACAATGCCTGCAGCAAATCATTTAATTCCCTGGGTTGTCTAAGAAGTCACGTCCGCCATTGTTGTAATTCTTCTCCGGGGTGACATGTTTGATATCATACTCGTGCACTGTTGCCGCTGATCATTATTCCTCGCCAGAGAATGATTGATTAATTGATTGATTAATAGTATGGGAATTCTTCCTTTCGCAGGCTTGTAATTAGCGCAGCATTGACGAGGGCAGATAAAGGGGCAAGGGCAATGACATCACCTTAAATAGAGCATATTCCCGAAATTCGACATATTTAGCAATTTTTCCTCCCATTTTATAGCATTTCTAGAAGAAGGGGAGGGGAAGGAGTATGTTAGATTTATATGGCCCCACTTAGACCTAGTTCTGTAAATTTCTTTGGGTATTTAATATAATCATTCATTTTAGAATATCATTTATAAGATCAAGTATAGTCAAAACTGTTGAAAGGTTTCCATATTGGATTTGGCATTCATTCAATTTTACAGCTTTTGGAAGCTTGCATGTAAACAACAATTCTGTGGTTTAGTTTAATTTCTGCATACCTTCAAATTATAGGAAATAGACTAAACTGAGTAAGAAGTTCACATAAGTTAAAATTTTAGTAGATTAAATTTGATTCTTGTTCTGATATGTCCGGTTGTAGAATCATTGAAGTGTGGCATTGTTTGATCGTGCTGTGTTAGTTCCCAGGCTATATAATTATTCTAAGATTAGTAATATCGTTACATAGAACATCATACAGTATGCATATTTCAATATTGTTTAATATCTGTCTTCCTTCACTTTTCAATTTATTAAAACTAATTGTTCTTAATGCTACTATAATTCAGAATATTTTTATTATTCAACCTAATGAATTAAAACTCTAGAAGACTGGACTGACATTGAAGTGTTGCCAGTCCTTGGTTTTTGGGTTTAACTTGCCCAACCACTATTTTTTTGTAGCAATGATGAGAAGATTGGATAGTGCTTGCTTCTTTTTATGCATATGAACATTAGGACAGTGGTCGGCGATTATATCAATACAATGAAGACGACTTTTTATTGATAATGCTTTTTCAACTTACAAGTAAACAAAGAGAGTCTGTTACAATTGTGTAAATTCTCTATGATAAAAAATGTTGAAGCGTGTCTGCTATCTGAAACCTTGCTAGAAATCAAAAAAAAAATTGATATAAACGATGACAACTCTACTAATGCAGAAATTGACAAGATTTTCTCTAAATGTGCGTAGCTCATTCTTTTGTTCCGTAATTGTTGTTGCATGTCATTTTCATAATTTTTTATTTTAGGATGGATTTGTAGCTGATGTAAAGTATGAGGGTGAGGCCACCTACCCTGAGTACAAACCTTCCTATGCCCCTGCCCCCAAGGCTGCCTATGCTCCTGCCCCTGCACCCAAGGCTTATGCCCCTGCCCCTGCCTACGCCCCTGCACCCGCCTATGCCCCCAAGCCTGCTTATGCCCCTGCACCCGCCTACGCCCCTGCCCCTGCTGTGTACAGGACCTCTGGAATCAAGTATGCTGCTGCCCCTGCTCCTGCTGCCCCCGTTGTTGTCGAAGAAATTGTCCCTGTTGTTGCTGAGGTAGATCTCCGTACTGATGACGCCCCAGTTGTTGAGGAAGTTGTTGTTGTTGAAGAGGCTGCTCCCATCGTCGAAGCTGCTCCCGTTGAGGCTGCTCCCATCGAAGAGGCTGCTCCCGCCGAGGAATAAATATTCCAAGAAGCTTGATCATAAAATCAAGAATTCTAACGAAGCAAACCTTCCAAACTTCCTTAAACTACCCGGCTGTGCTTAAGTTGAACCATGTCTATAGTTTCAATTTTACGGAACTGAAAAAAAAACTATTTAATATTTATTTTTCGAAATATTAAGTTAATGAAAGTTAATTTCTTGAATAAAATATTTATACTTGCATATTTGTTAAATTATTAAATCTATAAAAGTATGTTCTAGCCAACACACCTGTCACCCCCCTCACACCCCTCCCCCTCCCAACACCCTTCCCCCACACAACAAGCTGACCCACACAGCTACAGAGGATACAAGTTTAGTTTGCTTGAGTCCGGCCCGTGAATCACACAACTGCTTGCAAGCAATAGTTCAGTTTATATGTAGTTCAGTTAAAAAACCATAAAATGAAAAAGTTCAGCTAAAAAACCCATAAAATGAAAAAGATGTGATTATTCTTACTTTTATAAGGTACTAGCTGAAGTGCTCATGCGTTGCCCGTTGAAAAAAATAGAAAAATAAATATGTTGAAAAAATTTTTTCAAATGAAATGAATGTCCACAACAAAATTCAGCCCAATCGGTCCAGCCGTTTGGCCGGCTATACGCAACATATATATATATATGAATGTCTTGTTTTGTTATATTATAGAATGCAGTGCAGTGTAAACAGAAGGATTCATAAGTTCATCTGAAATTTAGATAAAAGTTTTTTTCTTGTCTAAAATGAACAATGTTATAGGAAACCAAATAAGCGCTCTAAAGATTTAACATTCCTTGCTCGCAAAGTAGAATATAAAAGATAAATAAACTTTATTTCTTTAGAAAATTTACTTGTTTAACCTTTTCCCAGTTAGGGCACATTTAAGATACAGGATCATAAAACAAAAAAATAAAAAGTTGAACAATTATTAACCAAAATATTATAATTGGAAAAGATCAAACGAATTTATTACATCCCACAAACTAAAATTGTCTATAGTTCCTATATCTTTGCAACCTGATGGTGTGAATCTTTTATCGTTAAAACTTTGACCATTCACCATATGCATAGTTTGAGTAGAAGTAAATATTTCCATTTACTGATAGCGCCGATTAAAGGATTCATAACTCTAATTGGATAATGAGATAGATAGAAAGATAGATTTTACCACCAAACTATTTCTATTGGTTCAGAATAGACACCAAACACATGACTGAACCCTGATTGGATCAAACGCTAATGGACTCGGCATACAGGAGTGCATTTGACCATCTGACAGAACTCTTCAGGATTAGAAAATAGGAAATGAGTCGAGCAATCAGTTGGCAATTACTTTTTTTTTACTTTCTTGCTTGAAAATAATTATAAATAATTTAATTCCTTATTCTTCGTCATGTTTCAGAACTGAAAACTTTAAAATTGTGGATATCGACATCAATAGATCTCCTCTTTTTGTTAATCTTAAGATTACTTTTATATTTATCTTGTATCCTGTCTTCATTTTCGAACCCGTTTTCATAAATCATAATTGAACAAAAATTTTTTTAAATCCTTTTTTGTTACGATATTCGTTTTGAACACTTAAACAAATATTTTTTTGATTCCTGATTCCGATTCATCCCAGAAATTTTTAGCCATGATTAATTTAGCATGTATAGATATGAATGCTTCCGAGCATGACATATCCCTTGAATTTTATTGAATTGATGACGTTACTATTTATATTCAAGTCTGACTCCTTCTAGGAAAGTATGAGAAGGGGGGGGGGGTCGCCAACATTTACATTGCTAAATTTTAGAAGTTGAGGGCTTTCACTTTTACTGACTGGGGCTGGGGGCAATAAGATGACGTTGCTCTAGTTTTTTTGTTTTGAATAAAATGGGAAAAGGTTTGTTTATAATTTTGGGGAAGGAGAGGGGGGGGGGGAGGAATATCGGGGGAAGGGGGGATAATTTTGAGGAAAGTTGGTAATATATAGAGGAAAGTTTGGAATATTTAGAGGAAAGTTGGGATCATATAGTTGCAAGTTGGTACTATTTAGAGGAAAGTTGGGATTATTTAGAGGAAAGTTGGGATCATTTAAAGGAAAGTTGGTATTTTTTTAGAGGAAATTTGTTACTATTTAGAGAAAAGTTGGGATTATTTTTAGTAAAGTTGGGAGTTGCAAGTTGGTACTATTTAGAGGAAAGTTGGTATTTTTTAGAGGAAAGTTGTTACTATTCAGAGAAAAGTTGGGATTACTTAGAGGAAAGTTGGGATTATTTAGAGGAAAGTTGGGATTATTTAGAGGAAAGTTGGGATTATTTAGAGGAAAGTAGGTACTATTTAGAGGGAAATTGGGATTATTTAGAGGAAACTTGGGATTATTTAGAAGAAAGTTGAGATTATTTAGAGGAAAGGTTATATATAAGGTTTTAATATTATGAAGAGTTTCTTTTAAGCAAATGGGGAGGGGGAGTACCTAGAAGTAGGGCTGGGCATAGTTTCGTTAACGAAACGGAGATTTTCGAAAATTAACGGAAGAGTCCGTTAACAAACAACAAAAACCTTTATTTTTCAAATCGTTATCGATTAGTAGTTTTTGAAAAAAAAATAGTAACGGTTAAAAATGTTAACTAAAAAGCTAAAAACGGTAAATTTCGTTATTTTCTGATTAAAACTGCATGAAATTTTTAAATAAGAAATCAAACATTTTACGTGTTTTGATGTTTTTAAATGTCGTCTTCTGTGTTTATAAACCGTTTTAACTAATTTTAAAAATGGAAATTGCCGTTTACGGAACGAACATTCTGCTCTTACTTTTAAAATTAACGGCTAACTGAAATTTATTTTTAGCAGTTGGAACTAACTGTTAAGGAAACGGCTAGAAAAAGTTGAAACGTGTCCAGCCCTACTTAAAAGAGGGTGAGAATAATTATACATTATGAGATAAAAATTTAATGTGCAAACTAATATTTAAGTAGTTGGAATGCAAAAGCTAAACTGATTTGATTTTACAAACAGTATTTAAAGAAATAGTGGTTTTAGAATTAATATTCAAAGAAAAGTCCTTAAAATAGGTTTACTTATTTTGTATTGATATATTGAAAACTATCCCTTTAATTGAAACAGTCGGTCAGTTTATAAACCCTACTCGTCATGATGAATTTGATCCATCAAGAAACTGTCAAAATAGATAATTATCTGACCTAGTTTACATCCTCATACCTTCCTCAAATATATGGAGAATAAAATTAATTATTTTACAATCATGATAGACAAATCCTGAACCTTATACCTGGAACCTAGAACCTTAACCTTAATCTAGAACTTGAACCTAGAACCTAGAACTTAGAACATAGAACCTGGAACCTAGAACCTAGAACCTAGAACCTAGAACCTACAACATAGAACCTGGAACCTGGAACCTAGAACCTAGAACCTAGAACCTAGAACCTAGAACCTAGAACCTAGAACCCAGAACCTAGAACCTAGAACCTAGAACCTAGAACCTAGAACCTAGAACCTAGAACCTAGAACATAGAACCTAGAACCTAGAACCTAGAACCTAGAACCTAGAACCTGGAACCTAGAACCTACAACCTAGAACTTGGACCTAGAACCACGAACTTAGAACCTAGAACCTGGAACCTAGAATCTACAATTATGCAATATTTTTAATCAAAACATATCATTCAACACATTGAGTTAAAAGAAACAAATTATTTTAAAAGATTTTCAAATGTTTCTGAACATTTTTCTAAAAATCTTTCTAAAAATATTTCTGAATGTTTCTGAAAACGTTTCTGAAAAGGCTGAATTTACAGAATTGGAATTTTATACTTAGAATTGGACAACTCTGATGGGTTGCATTAGATGTTATATTAGTTAGATACACAGGGTTACCTTCAAAAAATGAAACTTCAGAGACGATTGTCCGCAATTAATAATGTCTGTTTCCTTATATTCATTTTTCCCTGCAATTCTAAACTTCTTTTTTCTTATCCAAATCATTAAATACGCCATTAGCCTACTATATATAATTTTACTTTGGAATCTTACAGCGTACAGCGTACATGTCATTTTTTGCAGACGCAGACGATACAAAAATTAAACTCAATATGAGATGTTTTTCTTAATTTTGACATTGAGATAACTTTTTCAACAATGTTAAAAGAAGTGTATTAAACTATGATACATTATTTGTCTTCGGTTTAGATTTTATAAATAGTGAGACATAGTTGAACTGGTTTAGAATAGTTCACTACTTCTCTTGCACATCTGAGACCAAATTTAACCACCTCTGTGTTTCAATTTATTTGAAATTGGCGGCATAAGTAATTAAATCTGCAATGGCTAGTTTAACCTCTTGTGTATATAGTCCTATCTTTCAAGATTTGATTCGAATAGAAATGAACTTCCTTCCAAATCAAGTTTAGTTGAAAACATCATTGCAAAACATGCTTAATTATCTAAACAGGTAATGCAGTAATTTGCAACCAAACTATGATTTTTACATTTAATCCACAGTTTTCTCTTTTTTGTCTATCATAAGACGATACATATTATTATATAAATCATAACTCCATGATATGATATGATATAACTGCGCGCTGTAATGTACACTCAATACATAGTTTTAAAATATGTGAGCTATCACTATGCTTTGCGCCCATCTTTTATTTCCCATTTTAATTGTTGCTCAATCTATCTGCAATCAACATTTTTCTTCGATAAAACAAAAATTACATTTTTTAAAATTACTTTTTACATAATTTTACAAAAAAATTTCAATTTAAGAGACGAACTTTGTAATTCTGTCAACCTTCCTCGGGGTCATGTGACTGTGTTGTTCCACAACAGATTCATGGGCCGGATCGGTTCAGCCGTTTTAACGCTTATTGGATACAAACACACTCCCAGACAGACAGACAAGAACCGTATTAATGAAGAAAATCGTAAAACTTATATTTTATTTTATTATAAAGGATGGTTAGAAATAAGGAAGTATGTGTAAACTATAAAGGACATATGTTTAAATTGCTGCTTACTTGTAAACTAGATAAAGATCTAAAAATTGACACAACTAGGCTTTTAGGACGCTTCGCGCCCATCTTCCATTTCTAATCTGATCATATGTTCTCTTTGTGTACATTTTAAAACAAAAACAAACAAAAATTTCGCATATTTTATAAAAAACAATTCGTGTAATTTCAAAATTTTCAAAAATAGAATTTTGACGAAGGCAAATTTTTGAAAATTTGATCATAAATAAACCTTCCATAGGATCACGCGAGGTACCACAAAAAGTTTGGGCCCGGTCGATTCAGCTGTTTTGACGTTTATTGGATACAAACGGACAGACAGACAGACAAGCAATATTGCATTTTATTTAAGTTATATTTTAATACCCCTATTGCTATCATCAGTTACCAACTGATGTCAATATTGAGTTGATTTGTTTGGATTCTGATATAGGTGGCTTCACAAAACTATACGACCTCTAATATATTGTATAGGGTTATCCACAAGGAATGAGTCTACAAAGACGATTCCAAGGTCATGTTAGCTGCCTTAATTAGCTTGAATAGCATAATTAATAATTTAGCAAAGAAAGAAACGAGTTTGCAGTTGCAGGAAGTTATGAATATAAGGAAACAAGCAGTATATATTTCGTACAGTCTTTTCTGAAGTCTTTTTATTTGTGAGTAACCCTGTATGTTTTTATCTATACTAGTTTAAACAAAAAAACATTATTTTTCTTTGCAACATGCGACCAAAAAAGGTTAATATAATACCAAATCAGTGAGTTTAATAGCAATTGTTTAAAATTTTAATAACTAATTCAAATGAATAATCGCCAAGTAAATTATTTTTTAATTTTCCATTACATAAAACATAGTTACTACAGTGGCGTTCATAAAAAGTTGAAGAAAATCAGTGTCCAAAGAAACAAAAAATGTTTGCAAAGTTTACTCCCCTTGGCTTAAAATATACACAAGTTAAAATCTACATTTGCAACGTGTTGCCGATGTGGTTATGCTTGATAAATATTTCAAAAGCATCAAAGGCATAAACTATTTTAAATGGGATTAGGATAGCTTTTCTCACATAAAGATAGATTAAGAAGATTTTAGTACAAGGTGTCCTGTCATTTTCAAAATTTTGTCTTTATTTTTTTGTGCCGTCAGTATTATATATCCAAGATATAAAGAATTTCATTCAGATTTTGACAGTTTTTGTTTTATTTACCAAAATTGATCTTAAAACGAAATTCTTAATATCTCCGGAATAATATTGACAGCACAGAAAAGGCAGACCACATTTAGAAACACTCGAACGATTATAATGTTATTTTGTTTCAAGAATCATACATGTTGAATTAGATTGACGGCTGAATGTCAAAAATATATTCAATGATCAAAGACGACTTTTGGGTCGTCTTGCTATTGTCATGTTTCGTATGACACCCAGTAGAAAGTCTTACAAATTTCTCTGGCTGAAGTTAACATGTTTTATCAAATATGCCGGGAAAAAGGCCTAGTTTTCAAATATACAAATTCAGTTACAAACTGCCGCCACTGTTAAAATAATCTTATATGTGTTCAAGGAAAGCTCGAGCAAATTGGAAAATGAGCAAAAATAAAAACATTGTTTTTCTTAACAGAGGCGACAAGCTTTAATCATTTTCTGCACAGATATAAGCCATTGCAAACTGGGCGCGGAAGGAGAAGGTACAACTTTGTGACCTCGGAGCTCTTCTAATTTTGATTAAAAAAATGTATTTTATTACATTTGAAAACATGTATTTTCTTCTCAATAGCTCTTCAATAAGAGGAGTTATATTGAAAACGTAAAGGATTTCAGATTGATGCTGGATTGGTCAAGATAAATCAATAATGTGTGCTAAAGTCACACTTTTGTGCGTCCCCATTTTGGGACGGTTTATAAGATTTTCTTTAGAAAAATGGTCACTATAAATCCCACACTTTTAAATAAAAGCTAAAACTGTTACTAGAAAAGAGACACGAAGCCCAGTTTATAAAAATTTTTTGTTTTGTTTTACGATGTACACAAAGAGAACATGTTCACAATTAATTTAGAAGATGGGCGCGAAGCGCCCTCTAAGGCTAGTATCTTAAAAAATGCTCGATATGAGGAAAACTTTATTATTTGATGCGCTCACGTCAAATTTGGTTTCTTATAGTGTAGTTTGTATAAAGCGCAAAGATGAATTTTTCTTGTCAAATTTGTGTTTTTATCGAAAGTTTGAAGTGTCTGCTTTCTAAGATGTTTTCAGGGTAAAATTATTAAGACAGTTATCTCCTGAATAGCAACAAACGACAAAGATTGAAAACAAAGCCCATAATTCCAGGACAGGAAAGGAGGGCTGGGGTTGGGCAATCATCGTTTACTTAATGTTGTTTGCTTACAATGAAACTTTTCCTAAATCTGGTCTATACTCAGATCGAGCGTTCACAGGAGAGGGGGGGGGCTATGGGGCCTTAGCGCCCCCTGAATTCGTAAAATCTCTGGTTTCCAGGAGGTTTTCCGACTCAAACCGGTGCTACCCCTCCCCCCCATGTTAGCCCCCCCTGTTTAATCTATACTAGTTTAAACATAACACTAGAACCTAGAACCTAGAACCTAGAACCTAGAACCTAGAACCTAGAACCTAGAACCTAGACCCTAGAACCTAGAACCTAGAACCTAGAANTAATATCAAAAAGAAATAGAAATAAATTATAGAAAACAATTTCTTTCAACCTAAAGGGAGGCCGGGGGGAGGGTTTAGAGGGGGGGGGTAGGGGTCAGGTGATCGAATCAAAAATATCTTTTATTTATTTCTAGATGATATAGCATACAATATAAATTCCTGATTTAAAATGCGTTCCTGACTTAAAACGCGTTTTTGATAATAAGAACTGATAATAAACGTTCGTTTAAGCTAATAGCCATTCCGCTCTTCTCCGTTCCGTTCCAATATTTTAAAGAACCTGTTCTTTGCATTCCGTTTTTTTTGAACAATGGAACTGTTCTTGATAGTTCTGTTGGTTCTTGTGAAAGAACGATCGTTCTTCAAGAACAACGCCCAGCCCTACCCGTGCCTAGTCTAAATATTAGTCGTTTTTTTTTTCTAAAATCTGACTACTGACCAACAAATAAATCAGACTATGGTAGTAACAAAAAGCAGGTAACAGTACTACCTTATAGGACACTACCAGATGCACAGAAAATGATAATAAATCTACAGTGTATTCACATAATCATGAATTTTGAAAAATAACTTGGATGTCGTCTTTGGTATTTGGATTATCGCTACAAGTGTTCAGTTGAAAAATTAATGCCGCGAATTATTTCAAGGATCGAAGAAAATCTTAAAGATGCATTATCTATATATTCATCGGTTCAAGGTTCGTCATGTACCCGGAGAAAAAAGAGGATATCGTCCTCAGCAGCTTCTTCAGGAAGCTAGACAAGACACAATGAGAGCTAAAAGCAGCAGTCCTCTTGTTCCTACACCCGAGGAAGACGATATGTCTGGGAAATCCGCAAGATTTGGATCTGGAAGTCCAATTCAGAGGAAACCACTTCCGGTGCATGAACCTAAACCAAACCTTCAGGTCATTTTATTTGCTAAATCCAAGGAACTATTACAGGAACGCCCCACTCAGATATTCGCATATTATGTACTGTACACTGTGGGAGGAATGTTAACAAACCCAGTACCCCCACAGAAGTTGAAGTGAAAGGACTAAAGCTCTGATGTGATATTATAGTCCAACAAAAATCAAGTTAATATATCAAGTTAGAGAAAATACATTTATTCTTGGCTTTCTGGTCAATATGGAAATTACAATAGCAATATATTTTTATTCCACCCCTTGGGCTCTTTTCCCTCAAAAAAAAATGCGTTGCCCCTGAATTGTTTGTTTTGATCTCCTCCTTACGCAGTATACAGATTAGACGCATGAAATATGGCGGTACCTGGTCTATATATTTCTTGGCTTAATCAATATTTCACATTATTTTTTAATCTTTCATATCGTTTTTAGATATTTTTTTTAGGCATCTATGCAGCTGAAATATCCGATAAAGAGATTTGGAACTCATGTAAGAGACTCGGTAAAATAAGTTTTTTTTCATAATAAGTAATTATTTAGGTAAACAAAAGTTTAGAAAAGTGTCAACAATAAAAAAGTTATTCCTTCTTAAAATTTTGGATGTTTCTAACGAATACCATTCCTACAACATTTAACTTTTTGCAAAAATAATATTTAAAAATGAATTGAAACTCTGTAACAAAATCAAATATTTAAACCTCAATATCTTTAGAACCCGATGTTGTAATCCTTTGATATTTCAAACTCTTATTATTTATTTAACAGAATTCATAGTTTAAAATATCTAAGGTCTACAACATTTGGTTCCAAAGATATAGTGATTAGAAAATCAGAGTTTGTGACAAAGACTCAATTCCTTTGTGAACCATGCATTCTAAACTTTAAAGCTAAGGCTTTTCATAAATAAGATTTCAAAAAACCAGGTCCAGGGGGATAGAAGGGGTGGGTTTGGGTGAGAGTTGATCCCCTTTATTCTGTGGGAGTTTTTCCAGGGGTATTGTACCAGTACTGGGCCTACTTTAAAGCTGTAAGAGCAAGTAGTAAAGTATACCTACGACTGTATAAGGCAAACAGACCCTTGACACCTTATGAATCAGTCCCTTCTGGAAAGATTTTAGGGGGAGTCCATCCCAGTTTTTAAAATCTGTAGCAAGTTTATATAGTGCGTCAGAAAGCCTGTTGGAGGGGAAAAAGCTTTATTTATACAGTGTTAGTAAAGCAGGGGGAAGGAGGGGGCATTGTAATTTGTAAATATATATTAAGTTTTTGATAAAAAAAATTTACACCAAATACATTACATCAATACCAACATTTCAATCTACACCAACCAACCTCGCTCAGACTTTAAGCCATAACTATGCAACTGTTTCACACAATTGCTTTCTTCACTTTGCATCATCAGTGCTTTAAAAGTAAGAATTTCTGAAAGTTATACTAACAGAGCTGAGTTATGTAATCTTGCTTGTTTCTTTATTTTGCGTTTAGAAACTAGATGTTCTTGTGAGTCAGTAGTCGTGAATGAGTTTGTTTCTTAAACGACCAAAAATTACTAGAAATAATTGTTTTAAAAGTGTAAAACCAAATAAAATCAAAATTACAAAGATAACAGGTACAAATTGTGATTAGTAAACTTCGTTTAGATACGAGAGAAACTAAATATTACCATTACAATAACAAAGGGTTTAGAAGAAGGAATGAGAAAGACAAGAAAGAAGAAAGACGATAGAAACTAATTCATTTTTAAACTAGATTTTTCAGTTAAAGAATATGGATGACGTTAGTCCTGTGTTTGCTGAATCAGAAGAGTTGAACTCCGAGGAAATAGAGAAGATACAAGTAAAACCTTCTCCAAAGCAAGATAAGAAAATCAAAAACTCACCAGCACCTCATCTAAGGTGAAGACAACTGACCGAATCAAAAATATCTTTTATTTATTTCTAGATGTCATATACATACACCCTTACATACATATATATTATTTATTTTTTATTTTTATTTTATGATATGTACGTTTCTAATTTTAAAATTGTAGAAAAAGACCTGGATCTCTTGATCTTGGGAAGCAAGTATCCAGACGCTGTTCATCTACCACTTCGTCAGATGCTAAACGATCATCTACATCTTCTGGAGAAAAAGATCGCTCTAAGAAATCATCAAATTCATCAATTACTCCATCAACTGAATCCTCTCAGGTTCAAATTAAACTAAACTATGCTTGTAGGGCGCTTGTGGCTTTATCTCTGAGCATCTTCTCTTAAACAAAACCAAAATAGTTTGCGGATTTCATAATATTTTTTCGCGCATTTTCAAAATTTTACAAAATTAAAACACTTTTAAACACAGATTTTTTTATTTTGATCATTTATAAACCTTCACTGGTGTCACACACAAAATTGGGGCCCGATCGGTTCAGCCGTTTTGAATAAAGATTATGTTTGATATAAAATAGTAGTTATGTGTTTAATTATTTTTTGTTCCATTTTTCATTTTTATTTTTGTATAAAAAATTATTATCTGTCGGAAAAAATGTAAGTTATATAATTTGGCTATTTTTTTTAAACAACAAGAAACAAAAATCCAACTTTTCTGATACCGTGTGATTTACTTTTAATGTAAACAGAAATACAAAGGAAGATTCATATTTGAATTTCTGCAAAAATATATATATATATATGTTTTTTTATAGAGCGGGATATCAGCTAGACAATGGGATTTATCAACAAAAGATCAAGTTCTACAACAAGCTTTAGAAGAAGAAGATAATTTTCTAAAGGAATAAATTCCATATTTTGCAATATATGGCAACTTTATTTTAACATCCCTTACACATAGCAGTCTTAGCAGAAATATTAGACCCTATTCCTGCTGGGGGGGGGGACCTACAACATAGAACCTGGAACCTGGAACCTAGAACCTAGAACCTAGAACNGGGCTTTAATACTAACTGCCTGAGTCCTCAGGCACACTGCCTGAATGACTGCTTTTTCCTGTAACAAACTAAATCTTTGTTTTGACCCACTTCCACTTGTCAGATTTTGATAGAATTTAGCTTTTTGGAAAGCCTTTAACATAAGGAAACGAATTGCACAAGTTTTGCGAAAAAAATGCAAATTTTTTGCAAACAACCTTTCAAAGGAAATTCGCACATTTTTAGATTTTCTTGATTAAAAATCAGGTTATTTAAAATTTTCCAAAATTTTTTGCATATTTGAAATGGCATGGTCAAGGGCTTTTTAAAAATGTATAATTTTTCATTTTTTGGACAAATTTTTTTTGCAAACATTTTTACTATATAAATGGATTTTTTGATAAACAATTCAATTTTTGCAAAGGAGTTGAGTTTTTGCCACAAACTCTGATTTTCTAATCTCTATATCTTTGTAACCCAATGTCGTAGACCTTAGATATTTCAAACTATTAATACTTATAGATAAAATAATCTAAGTTTGAAATATGAAAGGTTTGCACTATCAGGTTGCAAAGATATTGAGATCAGTAGATTTTAGTCTGTGGCAAAAACTCAATTCCTTTGCAAATGTTTTTGCAGATTCTAAAAGTAGAGCACAAGAGCTTTCCAATGATGTATCATTTGTCATATTTTGACATCAAACATAAAATTGACCCCCCAGCATATCTTGGTTTTCAAGTACCCCAGCAGAGATAGGGTTAAATAAGATTCAACGCTCAGAGATTATTTATCAAAGATTCACAATCAAACGATGATCAGTCATTTTTAAATCGTCATGTTCAGTTGAACGACCTGTAATAGATGAACAGTATTTACACAAACAAACAATCTATATAATTCGTCTGCATATTAAATTAACTCTTATGTTTTTAACAAGAATCCTGAACCAGTCATACTATATTACGGTATTATCCACAAAGGATGATACTTAAGAAACAACAGTCAGAATTTGTTGGGTCTTAGTTCATTATTGAATAATACCTGTAGCTATATATTTATTCTTTGCCATATCATTGAATATACCATTCACGAACTATTTTCAAGATAGAAAAGCCAAATTCAACCTTCAGATCTTCAAAATTAACCCTATCCAGGCTGGGCTATATTTTTCTAATATAGGCTGGAGGGNAATTCTGTCTAATCATGAACCTCATGCAGTTCTGGTTCAGCTAGACCTATATTTTTCTAATATAGGCTGGAGGGGGGGGGGGGGTTCCTCCCTTTGATTTTGCCCTTGCGAGTTGATACATAGGAGAGTGTGGTACATGTCCTTAGTCCAACTTTTCAAGGCCTGCTCATTAAAAAATAACACCTTTAAAGGGAGTGTTCGCGAAAAATGAAAGGGGGTATTGGCTTAATGCGATAAAAAAAACGCTTTTGATCGCTACTAATCTTACTTCTATCTGTTGTGTGTGTAAGGAGAAAATTGTTAAAAACGACTAATACCGAAGAATACAAATTCTTTAAGATGCAACATTCCACTGGGATCGTTAACAAATCATTTTAATTCCAAACAAATCATACAGGTATTACAAACAATAGTCATTGATTATTTTTCGACGCATTCGTAAATAGTTGATATTTCATAATATTTTGTATTTTTCATGATCTGAGAGTTACTTTTGAAAACATTTATTCCTGTTTCGAGGATTTTTGATAATGAAGACGACATTTTCATATTTTACAGGAATGTTCGAAAATCCAACGCCAGCGAAAAGTATTTAAAAAACAAAATCAAAAATATTATGAAATATTAACTATATACTATCGACGCGAAAGAAAAAAAGTCGATTTTTATAAAAAAAATTGAACGAAAATTTGGCAAAAAGGGACGAAATTTTTGCGAAAATGAGGTCGAAAATTTTGTCAAAAGTATATCGAAATTCGCGAAAATTGTGAACGAAATGTGTTTGTGTATAAAATTCTGAAAATCCCACACAGAAAAAAATCGGGAGGAATAAATGAAAACTTGAACATCTATGAGCACGTTTTTCTCATTCTCTTGGATACTATTAACCAATATTTTCAAAATTTTCCCCTAAGAACCAGTTATTTCAGCTCTGCGAATGAAACTAATTTTTCTTAGGATGAGGTTTTTTCTTTAATATACTTCAGTTAATCTTGAATTGGATAATATTGCGGAGATTTTATTTTTTTTTTAATTTAATAAATATCGGATTTTCAGTTCGTGGAATCGTTAGAGTTTGAAAAGGAATTAATTTCTTTCATCCTAATCTTATTTAAATAAGAAGAAAATACTTTTCTCTTCTTTTCTTTAAAAAAAGGATTTATTTTTTCTGTTTTAATATATTTAAAGGGATTGTTCATCATTTCAAAATATTCATAATATCCTGAATTTTTACTTAAAGGGACTGTAGCTTAATTTTATGTGAAAAGAGGACAATGTCCGATTCACAATGATACCCTTTAAACGTGAATGATCACAGAGGACCTGAAATATTTGGAATGTTCGGTATACTACACGTGGTTTCAGAAGATACAATTAATGTTCCTAAATGAAAAAAAAGCTCTCAACAAAACTCCAGTGATGAATAAGGAAATGACCACATCCATAATCAGTCAAAGGATACTGTTGTGAATCGAGGATGGAAGGTCAATTGAAATTACGCTTACAGTCCCTTTAAGTTTTCTTAGTTCTCAATCACGTTTCTGAGCTAAGAAGCCTCAGTTAAACGTTACTTTCCTAATTTTGACTATGGGGGTATCCTGTATATATATATTTCAAAATATTTCAATATTGAATTTAAATATTTAAAATATAAGAAAGTTGAAAGAATTAATGAAGGATCCGATTTGTAAATATATTGAAGAAACCCAGCAGGTAACTCTATTTATAATTAAGGGTTAAAAGAGTAAGAGTTGAGAAACGTGATTTCTTGTGAATCTTCATTTATAGAGTATAGAATGTCTATATCACAAGTTCACAATTATATGCTTAAATAACTTGGAAACCCAGCACTGCGAAGGTCACAACAAGTTACTTTATCTCCATGAGTGCAACAACTTACTTTTTTGTAACCCTAGACATGTTAATTTTTAATGATAACTTTAAATAACAATTGCTTTTGCTTTAGTTATTCTGAACTTTTGGCAATAATCTCATGAAGTTCAGCTAGATAAATAAGAATATTTTATCTAAACATGAATCTCATGAAGGTTTGGTTCAGCTAGACAAATAAGAATATTTTATCTAATCATGAATCACATGAAGTTTTGGTTCAGCTAGATAAATAAGAATATTTTATGTAAACATGGACCTCATGAAGGTTTGGTTCAGCTAGACAAATAAGAATATTTTATCTAATCATTAATCTCATGAAGTTTTGGTTTAGCTAGACATATAAGAAAATTTTATCTAAACATGAACCTCATGAAGTTTTGGTTTAGCTAGACAAAATTGCCAAAGCGCGCATGTATGACTCCTTTTTCATTTTAGGAACTGAGTCCAACAAAGCTAGAGGAATCTGTTCCAACTAAACAAATTGGAAATACAAGAGGTATAGTTTAAATATTGGAAATAAATGAGGTATAGTTTAAATATTGGAAATACTTGAGGTATAGTTTAAATATTGGAAATACATAAGGTATAGTTTAAATATTGGAAATAGAAGAGGTATAGTTTAAATATTGGAAATACAAGAGGTATAGTTTAAATATTGGAAATACATGAGGTATAGTTTAAATATTGGAAATAGAAGAGGTATAGTTTAAATATTGGAAATACAAGAGGTATAGTCTAAATATTGGAAATACATGAGGTATAGTTTAAATATTGGAAATAGAAGAGGTATAGTTTAAATATTGGAAATACAAGAGGTATAGTTTAAATATTGGAAATACATGAGATATAGTTAGAATATTGGAAATACATGAGGTATAGTTTAAATATTGAAAATACATGAGGTATAGTTTAAATATTGGAAATACATGAGATATAATTTAAATATTGGAAATATGAGGTTTAGTTAAAATATTGGAAATACATGAGATATAAATTAAATATTGGAAATACAAGAGGTATAGTTCAAATATTGAAAATACATGAGGTATAGTCAAAAAATTGGAAATACATGAGATATAGTTTAAATATTGGAAATACATGAGATATAGTTTAAATATTGGAATTACATGAGATATAGTTTAAATATTGGAAATACCAGAGGTATTGTTTAAATATTGTTATAATTGTTATAATTATTCAATTTTTATTTTGCATTTTTTATAGATGTAATTGATAATATTATTACATTTTGTCCGTATAGTCCGAATTACGTCATCAGAATATCAGCCAATGGCAGTGCAGTATACTGGTCACGGGATGTCTGTCTGTACCACGTGACATCGACACTGCATTGTCATTGGCTGAAGAAATTGTGATGTAATACAGACTATACGGACTATATGTAAAAATATTATCAATTATATTATATTAAAAATGCAAAATGCAAAATAAAAAATTATAATATGAGCAAACCTGAGATTCTCAGGCTCTTGTGAGTTATAAACGTTTTCAGATTAGTTGCGTATTTGCTAAATATGATCTGTTTAAACCTACAACTTTCATACAAAATCTGACATATGTCCGTTTTCGTTTAATTTTGACACAGTTTTATGTCAATTTCTCGAGACAGAAACATAAGATATGATGTCTTATAGATATCGTTTAAAACCTGAGATCCTCAGGTTTTACCCTATACTCCCTTTCAGTTTTCCTTTAACGTCCCTTCCAGCAAAAATAAAAAAAAATTAATAGAAATGTTTTCAGTTGGGTTGGATCATCTGGACGGACTATGCAAGCTAATGGAAGAACTTTCACAGTTAAAAGATCAAAATCTACATCTGCAAAAGCGTTTAACCTTTCTTGAGGTAACACCTTACTATAAACATGTATTTAGAAAAAAATTCCCCCTCCCCCCACGCTTCATGTTCATAACCCCTGCCTGTATCTTCTGTATTCTCTGTATCTCGAGTATTCCTAGTTCCCTCTGTCTATATCTCCTATGTCTCCTATATCTTCTATATCTCCTATATCTCCTATATCTCCTATAATCTCCTATATCTCCTATATCTCCAATATTATATATCTCATTTCCTATTTCTCTGTATTTCCTATCTTTTATATTTCATTTATCTCCTATATCTTAAATATCTCACATAACTCCCATATCTCATCTATCTGCCATATCTTCTATATCTACTATATATCATTTTCTATATCTACTCTATCTCCTATATCTCCTCCTGTATTAGGCTGGTATGGAGGAGCATGGTATCTCTGATCCCGGGAAAAGGTTTCCTCATTTTGATCCACTGAAAAGATCTGGTGATCTGAAGGGGATAAAAGGAGAGGAGAGAAGAGGAAAAAATGAGGAGATACTAGGCAGAGAAGAGGAAAACATTGAATTAAGAAAGGAGAAAATTGAAGGAAGGGGAAAAATTCTTCCTTGGAATAAACAGGAAGATGATTATAGTTTTAAGGTACTTTTGAATAAGAAATTAATATGATTAATAATAGACCAAAGATCAGCTGACACCTGTTATGCTAAAAACTATACTAAATCTATTCATAAAGACAATATGTTGTACCAACGGCCTGCATCCTTTATGTCTTCAATAAGTCCAAGCCAAAAATTCAAATTTTATAATTCCTATATCTTTGCAACCTGATGGTGTGAAGCTTTGATATTTTAAACCTAGATATTTGATCTAACGCAATTCAGAGTTTGAAATATCTAAGCCTAACAACATAGTAGTGCAAAGATATAGGGATTAGAACATCAGAGTTGCAACAAAAACTCAGTTCCTTTATGATTTTTGGGTATGTTTTTTTATTCGTTTGTTTGGATTAAAAAAAACATGAAAACAGTAATGTATCTCTTAAATTTGAAAGTTCGCCGAAAGAATCCCAAATTAAACAAAGAAATTGAGTCTTTGCCGCAAACTAAAGTTTCACAATCCCTATATCACTGCAACCTGATGGTGTTATCTTTGATATTTCAAGCTTACAGAATTCCTAATTCGAAATATGTAAGGTCTACGACATAGGGTTGCAAAGATATAAGGATTATAAAACACTCATCTCTTTTTTCTGATTTTTTCTTTATTTGCCTAGTTTTGCAAATATCGACATGTTTTTGCAACAACTGCAATTTCATATTGTGAACGTGAGCTGTTTTACATTTATTTTTTCTTATATTTCTTAAAAGTAAATTATTCTTGTTGAAAAACAAAACTTCTATTTGTTATTTTCTAGAATTTGAGTGACATGTATCTAACTTCAAGTATTCTTCAATCAAGGTGGGTATCATGCATCAGCCATATTGGAATATAGCCAACCAACAACCATACAATTTTGATCGGTTGATATCGGATAAATTACAACTATTGGATGATTTCCCCCCCACTTTGGAAAAATGACTTTTTATTTGATAACATTTTTTTCAAATAAAGAAAAGTAAATAGCCTTGAGCCAAAAAGTCATAAAACATTTTAAAAACTTTTTTAATGTTTTTGGCGAGTTTTTGTGCTCTTTCAGTAACACATTTCAATACTATTTTTTAAAGGGTGTTAAAATTTTAAAAGTAAAATGTATTTTTTTGGCGGGGGGGGGGGGGGAATTTAGTGATTATTATTTAATATTAATTTTTTAGCACTTCAAGCTCTTCGGCATCCCTACCCTTGGAGGCGTACAACTTCAGGGAAGACGACATTACAAATCTATAAAGTTAATTTTAAAGTTTTGATCAAATCTAGTGACTAAATCTTATATATATATATATATATATATATATATATATATATATATATAGTAGTAATCTTTGTTTAACTGTTTGTTTTACTGTTTATATATCATATCATGTCTCGATCTTACACCCCTTGACCGATTTGCCTCAATTTAAATAAAGGAAAACTTTCAAGGTTTAAAACAAAGATGTTTATTTAATTGATCGTAAACAGTTTTATAAGGTTGCCGTTGTGAATTGATTTTGCCGCTCATTATATGGACAGACACTTTAAAATATGCGTACAGTCCCTTTTATGAAATTATGCGTACAGTCCCTTTAATGAAATTATGCGTACAGTCCCTTTAATAAAATGATGCGTACAGTCCCTTGAATGAAATGATGCGTACAGTCCCTTTAATGAAATTATGCGTACAGTCCCTTTAATGAAATTATGCGTACAGTCCCATTAATGAAATTATGCGTATAGTCCCTTTAATGACGAATGAAAAGTTGTTATTTACCACAATATTCATGGTAGGTAATAGAATCTGGGAAATAGACATTTAATTAAATTTTACCTACGACGAAACTAGAAAACGTAGTTGATATATTTAGAAACAAATACGTAAGCACTAGTAAGCACGTCAAATAAAATCATTTCGGTTTTTAATGATATCTTATCTACCGGTAGTGTAAGATTTCATCCAACAATAAGATTAATGATTGCAAGATTACGATGGTAAAGGTGTATATCGGAGTGGGTTTACACTAAAGCCCCAGCCAAGGCTTAGAATTAATGCTACTCAATTTTAAGATTTTGTATGGATTGACCAATTTGCAACAAATTTTGATTGGACAACATAGTAGAATCATGGGAATGTTCTTAGCTTGGTTTGATTTCCAGGCCATGTTGGATTTCCTAGCTAGTTCTCACAGGTGTAACACCTTTCTTAAAGCTGTTAAGAATATTATACCATTAACATGCAACTTTTGGAAATTAAGGGCCCGTAACCTTTCTGAGGCGAATTATAGATAAATATACAAAAGCTACAAGCTATTGGGGCTAAATATTTTATAAAAAGCTTACGGGACAACTATTCCATACGGAAATGGTCCGGAATCGTCCAGTCAACATTTTTTAGAATGTCACACCTAGCTCTGTGTATCATTTATCATAGTTATCTATAGTTATCATTTATTTATTATTATCATTATTAATTAAAAATTGATTCAGAAAGGTTCCGCATTTAATTTCAAAAAGTTATTAATGGTATTTCATTCTTAACACCTCCAAGAAAAGTTCCGTATGGCCTCTTCGGATTCCAATTAATTTACTCTTAAAATCTGAGCTTAATATTAATAAAAATCCTAATAAAATATTAAATAAATATGGTCTTGTTGAATTAAAGTGTAAGTACTCCTGGTTCATAATAAAATATTAAATAAATATGGTCTTGTTGAATTGTAGTGTAAGTACTCCTGGTCTAAATGTTCTACGAAGTTCCTCAGTTACTGATTGTGTCAGGTAAATATTATGAAAACTAAATTTAAAAGAAATTTTTTTTTAATTTATGCCGTGTTAAAACCAAATTGGGCCTTTCGTACTCTTAACCTACGACTAACGAGTAACGAGAAAAGATTCAATAGCTTTTGAGATTTCGTTCATGCATTTTCATGGTTGTTAAGATTTTAAGGTTTTTAAAGGTGTACTAAATTATTGGTTTAAATCTTTGGTCAGAGTAAAAATTGTGTATAATACAATAAAAGCATACATATCAATTATCGAGCATGCAGTTTTGAAATAGTTTTAAACTTTATAGATAATAAATAAGGTGCTTTAAAACTAAATCCAAAACGGAATCCAAAACGGAACCCAAAACGGAATCCAAAACGAAACCTTAAACGGAACCCAAAAAGGAATCCAAAACGATGCCCATCGGCCCTACGTCTTACAAGTTGGCGTCAAGTATAGCGATAATTTTTGAAAAATAAAACACAAATAAAAAATAAGTTCAGCTTGTAGATTCACCATATTTTCATAAGCAAAAACTAAACTAAAAAATGCATTTTGGTTGAATGATTTAAAGGTTAAAAAATCCCCCCCCCCTCCCAACATTCTTTTTGTTAAAATTAATTAAAAATTATCTTCTGTAGTCAACAAGAATTTTCAGTCTTTCGCAATCAATTCAAATTACTAAAATATAGAGAAAACTAAAGATCTGTTCACATTGAAAACAAATCTTGGAAAAATGTAGAAAAAAACAATCTTCTCTGAAAGCCAAAAAACAGTAAAATTGACGGAAAATTAATGAAATTAAACTTTATTTCTATACTTACCAAAGAGAATAGAATATAAATTAGAGGGGAATTTACTAGAAAAAAGTGTAAAACGGCCATTTTGTTGTACTGTTTCCATACTGCAGGTATTTGTGCTATATAACCTTTTGGGCCCTGGAATATCATTTTATAGAAAATCTAAAATTAATATTAAAGAAAACCAAATTATGAAATAGGCTGGTTTTATAATTGACAAATGATCATTTCACATCGAAACTATGCCTTTCACTTTACAAACGATGATTTTCCGTTATAACTATAAATCAAATGATGTTTTTTATTCACCTAATTCATTTTATAAAGGTTATTTAAAAGCTTTAAAAAATTCGAAATTGAAATGGATAGTCTAAGGAATATACTGTATTAATGTACTCTGCTGCATATAATTTGTGAACATTTACATGATTTGTACACTTTGAACTCCCTTTCAGGCTGAAAGGGACTGAGAAAATTCATACCGAGGCCGGGATTGTCTAAATTCCACTCTAATATATATTCTATTCTCTTTGATACATACTCATGATATTAAAACTATTTTTAATAGATAGATAGATAGATAGATAGATAGATAGAAGGATAAATAGATAGACAGATAGACAGATAGATAGACAATTTTATCATTAAATATTTAGAGGTGAAGGCTGGGATACAAGAGAAGGACCTCGGAGACATTCATTAACAAGCCTCAGGTTTTTACAATATAAATGGTAACTCTTTCAACAACCCTAGCTATTCTTTACATTTATGTATACCATTTAATATTTCTTTCCTTTTCTAATCGCCCAGAGCTAAATTTCTTAAACTAATCCTACCAACCTTAATCTAAATTTGAAAGTTCGCTGATAATAAATTAAAACTAACTCAAAAGAATTGAGTCTTTGCCACAATCTCTGAATTTCTAATCCCTGTATTTGTGCAACCCAAAATCATAAGCCTTTGCTATTTTGAACTGTAAATTCTGTTGGATCAAATGATCCAAGTTTGTAATATTAATTGCTTTGCACCTTCAGGTTTATCAGATTAGAAAATTTTAGTTTGTAGCAAAGACTCAAATGCTTTAATTTTTACTTTTCTTGTCAAGGGACTCGATGGTGCATCAGGATATTGAAAAAAAGAGAACTAAAAGTACATGGTGCAAGGTTAGTTCTAAATATAGCTTTTAAACACTAACCATGAATATCTTTCTTTTTTTAACCTTTAAGAACCCACAAAGAGTAATTGGTTCTAAACACACAATCAAAACAAATTATCTTGAATTATTATAATTCTAAGAAAATGTATACATAGATAGATTTCTTGAGATATATTATAAAAATTAAACTTGGACTTTTTAACACGAAATACTAATTGTCATTTCTAAAAAGAAATATAGAGATTGAATTATTCTAATAATCCCCCCTCACTCCTTTAATCATATTATAGAAGATGAATATTGATTTATATATTAGGTGAAGAAAATGATTTCAACACGACGAGAGTCCCTGAAGAAAAAACAGAAGTTTGAAACAGATACAATTGGAAACTCCTTTGGTAATATATTATTTAGACCTAGACCTAGCCCTAGACCTAGACTTAGACATAGACATAGACATAGACATAGACTTAGACATAGACATAGACCTAGACATAGACATAACAAAAAAACCTAGACTTAGACCTAGACCTAGACCTAGATCTAGACTTAGGACATAGACACATACATAACAAAATATACCTAGACCTAGACTTAGACCTAGACCAAGACCTAGACCTAGACCTAGACCTAGACCTAGACCTAGACCTAGCTATATAATACTAGAGAGTGAATGTGAGGTTGATGATCTATTCTGTACTAAACCTATGGAAAGGTTTACTGTACAGGTATTACAAATTACAATTTCTTGCAAATTTTTTTATAAAAATCATCAGAGCTACTAGCTCAAGTTAAATTACAAAAATTTAAATATTTAAAGTTCAAAACAAAAAAATCTAAATTTTAAAAAATCTAAATTTTCGTATAAGAGTTCCCACTAAAGGTTGATTCTTAAAAATGAAATATCCAATAAGAAATATTTGAAGATTTCTCTTTGAAATATTTCCAGGAAAATTTGCCGAATGTGAAGAAAGTGCGCGGTAAGCCTCCCGACATTATTCTGAAAAGAGATTTAGAGAAAACTTTAAATTCACCACATCAAGGTATACCTTCTAGACATTGTGTTCTTATTAAAGGGAGTGTACGCTGAACTTTTAATTAACCAGCTTCATGCAAAGATGACCTTTAAACCTTTACTGATCAATAATGTTGAAGATATTGTCGTTTTTCCTGCAGTTGAAATGCGCACACTTTTGTTTAGAAACCACAATTTAAAAAAATTAGTTTTTAAATTTATAAACATTGATGCCAAATGCTCATGATCGGACAGGCCTTGTAGGGTTTCCTTTTTGAATCGGGCAATGTCGTCTTTGTATGGACGCTTACAAAACCTTTAAGAAGGAATTACTGCGATAACAAAATTTTTCGTGACTTTTAATTGTATAATATGTGTTTTACAAAGGGTTTGAAACTTAATTTTCCAAACTGGGTCCACTGAGATCCAGACTACTATCTTAAAAGTTGCATACATTTTTAGTTTTGACGTTGGCGTCTTGGTCTTTGGTTTTACGCGACTATTACTTTTTGATAGTCCTATTTTAATTGGCATAATTCTGATCGATTGAGTGAGAGCTTGCCATCCTTTAGACCCCTGTTCCATCTGTCATGTTTTATACTCATTTTCCAAAAATTACACACTCAATTTGTAAAAAAAAATTTATAACATTCCAATTGAAAAGTTGTAAAATCAAATAAAATTATAAAAATGAGACAAACTTTAAAATGCAAGTTCTGATACCCATGTTTTTGAAGAATGGTTACTTAAAACTCCAAGTAAACCGTATAAAAATGTACGAAATAGAGCATATTTCACATTAGGTTGAGCTACTATTTTAAATCAGAACTATCGCGACTCTGTTTAAGGATATATTAAGAAAAACAAAGTTTTGAATATCAATTTGCAACATGAAAAATAAATTATTTTACAAAATTTAATTATTTTAATTTTTCTAGTTACAGGAGGTGCTGGAGTATTTCGTGAGCACAGACCAGAGACCAGGACAGATCACAACAAGTTCAAGTGGAGCAATGTCAAAAATGCATTTTTAGCTCCACCNTACCCCCCCCCCTTTCCAACAAGTTGCGCGCACATTTTTTGCGCAAAGAGGTCCTTTTTTCTGTAAAAACATGCTATTGCTCGATTAATTGGCGCAAAATCACTTTCTTGATTCTTATTTCATAAGTTGTAGGCCATTATAGCAATACAATGAAGACTACTTTTGGTTTTAAATTTGATTTATATGAAGCTATTAAGCAGCATTATTAAACATAAACATAGAAGCCAAGAGGAGCTGTCAACTAAAAAAGCTTGGCTTTGTTTACTTGTAAAACTTCGAAAAAAGCTTGTTAACAATCAACACTTTAATGAAAAAGCTTGTCTTTGTTGTATTGATATTATCGCCTAATTCTGTAGCATGTAATGTGACGCACGGTTGTTAATCGTTTTTGAAAACGATCATTAAACGATCGTTTTTTGTTTGTTTTTTTTTCAATTGTTTTCAAAACGATCGTTTCGTTTTCGGAAAAAACGATCGTTTTTGAAAACGACCCACTCGTTTTGAACTTTTAGAAAACGAATAACGATCTTTTTTATACGATTGTTTTTAAAAAACGACCTTTTTTGAAAAAACGATCGTTTTTGAAAAAAAATTATTGACAATTATGTTAACGATCGTTAATGAAGGGTCGTCGTTAACGAATGGTTGTCGTTAACGATCTTTAACGAAATGACGAACTTTATAAAAACAGTCGTTTTTGAAAAAACGATCGTTTTTGAATAAAGAATTACATGCAACTTTACTGAATGTCGTCTTACATGAAGTTTAACAGTTGTCCGGGGGAGTTAAAACTTCTTGATATTTCCTTAAAAACTACTCAATGATAAATGCAGATGCCCGTGAGGTCGGTTTCCTCTCTTCGTTAACGATCGTTAACGAAACGACGAATTTTATAAAAACGATAGTTTAAAAAACGGTCGTTTTGTTTTCGATTTTTCGTCGTCGTTTTCATATTGAAACGACCTTTTTTCAAAAAATGAAAACGTTAACATCCCTAGCACTTATATAATGAATAAATAAATAAATAAATAAACTCTTCTCCAACTCTGAACTTCATTTTATATTTATGACCGTAACTTTTAAGTCTTTTAAAAAAAGTTTGATAAAGTTTGTATACAACTTTACAGTTGCCAAAAACTAGCCTGAGATCGAAACATTAATTAAGTATAAAATGCTAATAATCTTTTTTTTTTTTGGGGGGGGGGGCGTGACAAACTAAGTAAAATGTATCTAGATATATATACAGGTCCAGTGAGAATGGAAATTAAATAATTGAAATAACGCCGAGCAGTGTCAGAAATAAGAACAAAAGAATTGAGTTTTTGCCGCGCGCAAACTGTGATTTTTGAATCACTTCATCTTTGCAACCCAAGTTGTCGACCTTTGTTATTTTAAACTGTAAATTCTGTTTGATCAAATAGTTGACGTTTGATATATCAAAGGTTTAAACCATATGGCTAAAAATATAAAGAGATTTGTAAATTTGGGTTTGTTCCAATGAAAGATAGAACACTTTTTTGCTTTCATTTAATTTTTTTTGTGTGTTGCAGTGGTACTGTAAATATCATGCAGCCGTTGTGTACATATCAATACAATGAAGACGACTTTCGATTTAAATCTATATTTCTACACTCCTGTATGCCGAGTCTATTAGAGCCTGATCCAATCAGGGATCAGTCATGTGTTTGTTGTCTATTCTAAACTAATAGAAATAGCCTAGCGGTAACATATATCTTTCTGTGTCATTATCCAATAAGAGCTATGAATCCTTCAATCGGCGCTATCAGTAAATGGAAATATTTACTTCTGTTGAAACTATGGTGACTAACAAGCTTTTAAACATCATGGATACGCATAATCATGGAAACAAAGTAAATCTTTAAAATAACTGTCTATGAGTTTACTTGTAAACTTGTAATTCGAAAAACTCTTGTTAACAACAAAAATAAAAAGATCGCCTGCATTTCTCTATTTGCCGACCATGCACTGTACAAAAAGATTTCATCCCTTCATTTTGTCTGTGTGTATAGGCGAGCTGACGATGATGTTTCCCAATCTCTTCCCTCTTCTCCAAATAGGAATAAGAATCTTTAGAATCTCAAAAATTGTTGTATGTTGCCTTAATTTTGATTCGGCTATAAATCTTCAATTTACATAAATGTAAAGCGTAATCTGATAGAAATTAATCAACTTTTCAAAAAAAAAGAATTTTCCAAAATTAGATATTTTTTAAAGCATTTCCAAGAGATTCGTAATTTTCTGAGAATTCTTTTGCAGTTCCAAGGATTTTCTAGAAAACAAATTGTTATTTTTTTTAAAAATATGTTTCTTGTTTAGCTACAGGGGACCCAACGGGATTGTATCAAAAGATAAATCACGAATTTCTCCAGTTTTTGTTTATGATGATCAAATTATTCAACAAATTGAAGGATCTAACTCAGAAAATAGCAATGAGGTAAATATGTTATGTTTTTTTAGACATAATTACAGTGAGAACCAGAAAATTTTGGAAAAGGAACTTAGGAAGACGACTTTTAAACTCAAAGTGTGACTTTAAATAGTCATAATGAACATGAGACGCAACTAGTGTGCAGTGTAAACAGACCTATTTCTGCAATATACAGGGTGTCCCACATCAAATTAGACCGCGTTAAAATGGGTCTAAATAACGATTTGGAGGACAATCAGACAAATTTTAGAAGAATGAATCATTTTGAAAATTTTGATTTGGCGAATAAAAATTTTCTTGCAGAAAATGCTAGATTTTTCGAGTATTATATGCGTATTTGGGCGTTAAAGATTGGAGAAAGTCTAATATGATATGGGACGCTCTGTAGTATGCCGAGTTTAGCATCTGATCCAATCAGGGTTCAGCCATGTGTTTTGTGTCTATTTTGAACCAATAGAAATTGCATGGCGGTACCATTTCTATCTATGGCATTATTCAATTAGAGATAAATCCTACTATCAGCGCTATAACAGTAATTTTTTACTTCTACTGAAACTATAGTGTTCACTCAATATGTGATTTTATAAGTTACTATGGAAACTATTTACTTTGTAACATCAATTACATTAAATTACTGCTATAATTTTTTTCTAGGATTGAACATTTTTTGGGTAAATTTAAAGAATAAATTTTTCAACTTATACAAGATTAACATTGTATTATTTATGCTTTGTCAGAAAGCTTATTGTAACAAAATAAAGAAAAACACATGTAATAATATGAACATTTTGCCACGACGATTTATAAAATTCGAACTTTCATTTTCTCTGTATCCGGAGGTTCTCGCCTTTTTAGAAACTATTCTTAAATGTATACGCGTGCGTTAAGAAGTCGGACTATTTACATAAAAACCTAGATCTCCTCTCTCCCCTAATAGATAGATAGATAGATAGATAGATAAAGTTTATTGCTAAAATACATGTATCTGTGTACAGAACGAGTTTACAATCACAAATTGATGATTATATTAACAGTACAAGTATTAAGCAATTAGGTGGAAAATAGCTCTTGGCTGTTTTGATTATTTTTTCCACCTAATTTCAATAATGATAACAAAACATTTCAAGTAAATAGATTTAAGGAGAATTATTAGAGATCAGGGTGCGATTTTATCTTATGCAAAATAAATTATACATTAATTCGAATAACTAGAGTTTAAAGTAATTTTCTGACATGTACACAACAAATATTAAAGCATATTAAAACATATCTAATTAGTTTAAATATATCTTATTGGAAATTATTTTTATTTTAGACTTTGAATATTAGTTCTGAGATTCTCAAGAACTATGAAAAACTGCAGAGAAGTTTAAGCGATGAGTTTCACAGGTTTAATATTTTAATATTATTTAAACTTTGTACAAATTTAAGAATTGAAAATGATTCTGTTGAATTTTAGCCACAAATTAATCCTTATATTTTGCACCTTAATGTTGCAAACTTTGATACTTCATTATTAGTAATAATAATAATAATAATAATAATATTTTAATATTTGAGTTTAAAATATCAAAAGTTTTCATCATCAGGTTTCAAACATATAGAAAGTTTTGTGAATCTCAGTTTCTTCGTATTCTTTAAGAATAAAATCCCCATATAAAGATCATAAAGACAAAAATATTTCTTTAAAGTATTTACTAAGATGGGTATTCTAACATGAAAACTTAAACTTATATTACTTTTAAAGGAATTGAGTCTTTGCAACAAACTCTGATTTTCTCGTCCTTGTGTTGTCCCAACCAAATTTCATAGACCTTAGATATTTCAAACTATGAATTATGTTAGCTTAACTTATCTAAGTTTGAAATATCAAATATGTACAACATCAGGTCGCTAATATATTGGAATTCGAAAATTTAAGTTTGTGGCAAAAACTCAATTCCTTTGGGCAATTCGTCGTTTAAAGTACATCTTACATTAAACAAGTAAAAACTATTATGAAATATCATCTGTGTATACGAATGCGTCAAAAAAAATCGATGATTATTGGTTGTAATATCTGAATGATTGGAATTAAATTGACTTTTTTCGATCCGAGTCGAATATTGCAACTTTCTGGATTTTTTTCTTCGCTATGAGTCGTTTTTAACAATTTTCTCCCTTTAGACGCAACAGATAGAAGTAAGATTAGTAGCGATCACCATTAAATATTTTTCGACGTAAACCTTTACCCCTTTTCATTTTTCGTAAACACTCCCTTTAAATTATTTTCTAAACTTAAGCAAAACATCTTGTAATGCAACAGAACTTCTTCTAATAAAATTCTTATAATTTAAATATTGGTTTTTGTTTCATTCGTTTTAAAGTGACCGTAAACATCATTCCAATTAAGCCTCAGGAAAGAGAGATTTACAGCGGTATCTTTTAAACCTTTGACCGAGAACTCTGTGTGTTAATCTCTAAACTGGCATTCTAATTGCCGAAAAGCAGAAGTGTACGCTATCGTACGCTTCCTTTACATACATTTCCGGAAAATTACGAATGTTAAATGGTTTTAAACATCCTTGATTAGATAAAGGTTTAAAGGGTATTGTAGTGAATAGGAAGCAACACTCACAAACGAAGGATTACTTAAAACTATATATCAATATTTCCTTTAGAACTGATTTTTTATGCAACTTTTAAACCGGAAAATTAAAAAAATCAAAATTGGTTTTTTCCTTTTTCTTCAACGTCATTGTATATATTGAGATTCGTCAACGTTTTAGGTTATTTAACTGACGCGGAGTTTCTCAAGTCCACATTTTTAAAGAAAAAAATAATTAGATTATTAAGTTGTCCTGAAGAGATTAGAAGATCAGTTTTGGTTTGTTTCTATATATTCAAATAACGGTCAAAAGCATAGTGATAGCAGATTTAAAACTCTGGCCCCAAAAAAGTTTCATTATTTCAGCCAGGTTTCTGAATCTTGGATTTATTTAGTTATATTTCTAGAAAAATGTCTGACTGGGAGAGAAAAAAAACCTGGAGAGAAAATTTAGGCAATTTTTTCTCTTTTATCAAATAATTTTGGAGATGATTAAAAAATTCTTCAAGGAAATATATTGCTTTATAATGCTCATATTCTAACATTTTTATTAAAATTGAAAAGTTGATAGTTATTATTTAAAAAAAGTTAGTTTGAAGGTTTTTACAAAGACATTTTACCGAAAATGTTGCTCTCAACGCACATTTACCAAAAATTTCAAAATTGTTGATTTTAAAATAGAATTTAAGAAAAAAATAGTTTGGACATTTTGTAAAGATTATAAAAAATGGTTGAGCATCGCTTATATTCAATCATTTTAAAATAGAATTTTTTTTTAAAAACATAGTTTGGACATCGCTTATATTTTATCATTTTTCAATAGAAATAAGACAAAAATTGTTTAGGAATGTCCTTCGACGAAACAAATCTTTCAGCTGACTTCAGGTCTAAAATTTAAAATTAATTTTTTAACATTAAATATTTAAAAGATTGTCTGTTTTCTAAATTTAATACATCCTGATGTTTTATCTAAAACTCAATCATGGAAAAAAAAATTTTACAACTGCTTTACGGGTAATCTTACTTTACCAAGGGTTCCCAAGACTAAATATTATTTTGTTTGGCAATACTTGTTTTTACTTCATAAGAAAGTTGAACAAAATTGTACCTTCAGAAATTTCAATAATTTTAATTTGTTTAAATGAAATTATTTGATATAATAAATGGATCTTTAGATAAAAAAAATCTGGAAATTGAGATATCTATTCATGTAAATGACAATATGGTTTTTGGCCGGAATTTGTACTTGTTTGTTTATTTAAGGTTTAAATTCAAGATTTTTAATCCCTAACAATTTAAATTTAAACCGAAAACAAAGAAAAAAATAAAATTTACAACAAAAAACATAATTTCCCAAATAGTAACACAAGACAGTTAGATATTTAAATTTATTCAGTTCAAGTTTTATAAAAATTTGCAATTTTTTATTAAAATCCGCGAAATTGCAAGGGCTGCTTTGTCTGGCATAAATTGTTAATTATTTGCCTCGCTATAAATGAGAAACTTTTTACACCCAAGATCATGAAATTGTGAGTAAAAATGTATGATAAAAATTTTCTTAAAATTGAATAAAATATTTTGAGTTTCCGTTCAAAAATTACAAATTAAGAAATTGAATATCCCCCTTGATTTATAATTCTGTATTCGCCCTAGCTTATAGTGGTAAAATTGTTAAGTTGTTTCCTGATTAATACACAAATTGTTATTTTTTTTGTGCCTTACAAATCGGTGTACACATCCTTTCTAAAAAGAAACCTTGAAATAGTCAAAAAATTGAATAAAAGTGATCTCGCGCATGGAGTTAATTAAAATTCATTTTTCCAAAGCAAAAAGTGGATAAAAAAATCAGTTATTTTTCGGTATTAATAATATGTATAAAAAGATTAAGTCACCATAATAAATACTTGCAACTTTTTTAAATCCTGAATTCTTTGCAACCCAATGTCGTAGACCTTAAATATTTCAAAGTAAGATTTTTGTCAGTTTAAATAGTCTAGGTTTGAAATATCAACGGTTTGAGCCATCAGGTTTCACAGTTATGGGCATTAAATATTTGAGTTTGTGACAAAAACTCAATTCCTCTGATTCATCTTTGCGCCTTATACAGGAGGAGTCAAACCTAATCCACAGGATACACATCAGAAGATTAGAGCCAGGCCTGTACAGCAGCATAAAATACAGGTTAACATAGTTAAAAACACTGTTTACGTTTCTCATTTATAACTTCCGAATTAAGATAGGTCGTCCTTTTTTCTTGTCTAAATACATGTGGCTAAACTTATCTTGTGTTTGTTTAGAATTATAGATTTGAGATCACACCAAGTTTTTTACTTCTTAATTAAGAAATATGTTTAAAGTCGACCGGCCCACCAAAATGTGTTTAAAGTCGACTGGCCACCAAAATATATTTAAATTTTAATCTTTCGATTAAAAAAAATGAAAATCCTCATCGATGATAATATTCTTTTCTAGCGAAACCTTTTGATCAGATTCTAAATATACATATTTTTTAAAGAAAAATAATATTTCTAAATATATATTTCGTCTTATAGTCCAGGGGACGTACAAATATAGGTTTGTAATTATTTTATCCGAATTTTTTCTAATTAAAGATAGAATATATTTGGATTATGGATAGAAAAATTTAAACTTTTAAATAAAAAATGCTGAATATATAACAGTTAGGGACAATGCCAATTTTGTGTATTGATTCTTTGTAACAAACTATGAATTCTGATGGGTCAAATAATTAAAGTTTGAAATATGAAAGGTTCACACCAAGGAACTATATACAGGAACGCCCAACTCAGATGTACGCAAATTGTGTACTGTACATTGTGGGAGGAATGTAAACCCAGTGCCCCCACACAATTAAGTTGAAGGGAAAGGTCTAAAGCTCTGATGTGATATTGCAGTCCAATAAAAAACAAATCAATATATCGAGTAAGAGCGAATGCATATGATTTTTGACTTTCTGGTCAATATGGAAAATACAATAGCATTATATTTTTATTCTACCCCTTTTGGGCTCTCAAAAATAATGCTTTGCCCCTGAATTCTATGTTTTGATCTCCTCCCACTGCAGTACACAGATTTGACGCAGGAGATATGGCGGTTCCTGGTCTATATATTTCTTGGTTCACACCATCGATTTAAAAATTTGAGTTTGTGGCAAAATCACGATTCCTTTCTACATATATCTTTAGAGACGCCAGTACAATATATTTGTAGTATTTGTTCTCGCAATGACACTGCAAATACACCAGAAAGAGAAGGTCACATTTTTGCGACATTACTGTTGCGGCTTTGATTCTGATTTATGAACAAGTATAAGAAAAGAAAAGTTATCTGGTTAAATATTTTAAGAAATTAATATAAAACATTCTTGTTCTTTTCAACAGCTCTTTAATAAAAAGAAATTCTCATTTAAAACATTAAATATGTCAGTCCTACTCCTAAGCACTCCTAAGTACTCCTAAGTACTCCTAAGTACCCCTAAGTACTCCTAAGTACTTCTAAGTACTCCTAAGTACTCCTAAGTACTCCTAAGTACTCCTAAGCACTTCTAAGTACTCCTAAGTACTCCTTAGTACTCCTAAGTACTCCTAAGTACTCCTAAGTACTCCTAAGTACTCCTAAGTACTCCTAAGTACTCCTATGTACTACTAAGTACTCCTAAGTACTCCTAAGTACTCCTAAGTACTTATAAGTACTCCTAAGTACTCCTNGTAGATATCAGCAGAATAATACAAATATTTGTTGTAGATATCAGCAGAATAATACAAATATTTGTTGTAGATATCAGCAGAATAATACAAATATTTGTTGTAGATATCAGCAGAATAATACAAATATTTGTTGTAGATATCAGCAGAATAATACAAATATTTGTTGTAGATATCAGCAGAATAATACAAATATTTGTTGTAGATATCAGCAGAATAATACAAATATTTGTTGTAGATATCAGCAGAATAATACAAATATTTGTTGTAGATATCAGCAGAATAATACAAATATTTGTTGTAGATATCAGCAGAATAATACAAATATTTGTTGTAGATATCAGCAGAATAATACAAATATTTGTTGTAGATATCAGCAGAATAATACAAATATTTGTTGTAGATATCAGCAGAATAATACAAATATTTGTTGTAGATATCAGCAGAATAATACAAATATTTGTTGTAGATATCAGCAGAATAATACAAATATTTGTTGTAGATATCAGCAGAATAATACAAATATTTGTTGTAGATATCAGCAGAATAATACAAATATTTGTTGTAGATATCAGCAGAATAATACAAATATTTGTTGTAGATATCAGCAGAATAATACAAATATTTGTTGTAGATATCAGCAGAATAATACAAATATTTGTTGTAGATATCAGCAGAATAATACAAATATTTGTTGTAGATATCAGCAGAATAATACAAATATTTGTTGTAGATATCAGCAGAATAATACAAATATTTGTTGTAAGATATCAGCAGAGTAATACAAATATTGCACATCATTGCGCTAAAACTCACGCATGTAAAGCAATAGTTGTTTGTTTTCTCATAGACTATTTTTTTTATATTTAATATAAAACACATTTCTTATTTAAAGGCTAAAAACAATTTAAAACAAAATTTAAGGTCAAACCTTCATAAGATAAAATAAAAAGTTGTTGTGCATGGAAACCTTAATTTTCTGCACCGACAAGTTTTTGTAAAAAAAGAAACTGATCAATTGCCTCAGACTCAACTTTTCTATCATCTGTATCTTCGTATACCACGAGCAGCCGTAGTAAATTTGAATTTCCTGACCTGGTAAATCTTTCCGGTCCCAGTTTGTACTGTATCGCCCGGACATTGGGTAAATAAAGCAGACACTCAATAGGAATAGCCGGTGGAACAAGGTTGACGCGGTCAGACTTTAGATTAAATTTACTTTTACAAAAGGTCAGAATTGCGTCTGCTAATCCTGAAATAGGGATTAGAAAATAACTTTTTTTAGCAAATGTTTATTTCCTTCTTCTTGAAAGAAATTATTATTTTTTCTTTTAACTTTTTGTGTTCTGTAATTATAATTTGTTATAATTTCTTTTATTTTAGACAGCTGCAGAAATTACAAAACTTATGCCGGATGACTTTAATAAAAAACTCAGGAAAATGAAAAAAATACATTGAGCAAATCCGGCGGTTTTTTATTTTTGATGAATCAGTTTTAAAAATATTTATTATTCAACTTTAGAAATCGTATTTGCCAAATCATTGTTTTTATCCAATTAAGCATATTTATACTCACAAAATAAAAGCGCTTGGTAACCACTATAATTATATGAAGGATTTTTGAATCAATGACTTTCTTGGAAGAGATATATTGACAATTGAAAACTAGACAGAATTGATCTACATATTAGACATTTTAAAAGTTTTTATGACGAAAAAATTATTATTTTGTTGAAAGTAATATTGACCATTGAACCCCAACTAAAGTTCTGTAGTACTTCATGAGAACTGCAGATATTCCTAGAAGAAAATTCAATTTATGTTTTCATTCAGAGAATGGGAAGAGATAAAAGAAAAAGAAAACACTTTGGTAAGTACCAGGGGTGTATATTTTCCTGAAAAATTATTCCCCCCTCTCTTTTGAAAATAAATTTTTTCTCAGAAGTTAAAATTTTTTTTAGAGTTTTAAGTATTCAAAATTTTGGGTAAATAATTATTAAAAAGGATGAAAAAATTTAAAAACCATTAAAATTTGTATTCAAATAAAACGAAATATTTCCTAGAAATCGATTGATTGATTTTGAACAATATTTGATTTTATTCAGGGGGAAAAAACAACTCGTCTAGAGCGGAATAGAAGTGGGAATGACAAAGTAAAAAAAAGAAGACGACACCAAGAACGACTGGTAACGATATGGTTTTCTTATATTGGATGTTTAACAGAAGCTTTCAAATTTTCTAGCATTGAAAAAAGACCTAAGCAAAATTGTAAAAATGAGTTCCTGTGTTGCGGTAAATTGTTCAAAAGTAAAATAAATGTTTTTTTTGCTAGACATAATTACCCTTTTTTTATTGACATATTTAGATTTCGCAAAAATATTTTCCCGTTTTAAACAATGGCAGAGTTAAAATTGAGACAAAATACAAAAAGATTTAAATTGATTTACACTAGACAATAAGATTGTTGATTTGTGTAACTCATTCTATAAATACTAGGCTTTCANATAAGCAAAATATCGTAAACATAAATTTTCGCGAAAATTGTTTTCGCAAAATTTCTAATTTCGCGAAAAAAATTTCGCGGATAATTTTTTCTGAAGCTGTATTCTGTCTTTTTTTAATGAATTTTCGCGTTTTTTTATAAATTCTATTTTTTTCTCAAAATTTTCGCATTTCTTATTTCGAGAAAGTTTTCACATTTTTTTGAGAGCGAACGAAATTCGAAATTTTCGCGAAACGATTTTTTCTTTTCGGCTGCTAACCATAGACCTAACAAATGGGTACGCCAAACCCACAAACGTTGGACGCTCCAAAGGTCAGACAGTACAAACGTCGGACTTACAGACATCGGACTGGTACAAACGTCAGACTAGGACAAATGTCCAACTAGTACAAACGTTGGATCAGTACAAACGTCGGACGGGTACATTTATAAGCAAAAACATCGGATTGGGTTGAGTTTGAAAAAAGACAACTGTTTTAAGAAATAAATTAAGAACCACTGATTGCGATAAAAATCAAAGATAACTGAATAAAGTCTCAACCCCTTGAAGGTAGCATTGTATAAACAGCTGGGTAGATTTTAATTAGACCATTCGATAAAAAGAAATGTTTTTTTTAATTAAAAAAATCTTAAAATTCAAATAAATTTGTTTTTCCTTTGTCCAACGTTTGTACTGGTCTGACGTTTGTACTGGTTCGTCGTTGGTAGTCCGACGTTTGCACCAGTCCGACATTTGTACTAGTCCGACGTTTGTACTGTCCGCGACGTTTGTAAGTCTTAGGTTTGTACCGTCCGACGTTTGTACTGGTAACAACCAGTGCTGGTGATAAAGGAATTTAGCCTTTGCCACAAACTCTAATCTTTAAATCCCTTTCTTTTAAACCCAATGTCACAAACCTTTGTTGGATTAAATAATCTTAAGTTTGAAATATCAAAGGTTTATACTCTCAGGTTAAAAGTGTAAAGTGATTAGAAATAATGAGTTTTTGGAGGCTCTTAGACTCAATTTCTTAGGAGTGTAGATTGTATGAAAATAAAAAAAACTATGAGCTTAGTATACCTATCCATACTAACCTTTAATCATCTATGTACAGTAAGAACCTGAAAACTCTAGAATTGCATGAGGAGACGACTAATAGACTCAATTCAAGTCAAATTTTCACGAGACACAGCATAGCCTATTTCATAATTTGGTTTTCTTTTAACAATAATTTTAGATTTTCTATAAAATGATATTCCAGGGCCCAACAGGTTATAAAGCATAAATATGTGAAGTACACCTGAAGTATGGAAACAGTACAACAAAATGGCCGTTTTACACTTTTTTCCAGTAAATTCCTCTCTATATATTCTATTCTCTAATCTCTATGATACTATATTGGGAACCCAGCGTGGACCAGGGGAGTTATAGTTAGTCCCATCCAAAATATGTAAATATCAGATAAATCCGTTATTTGCTTTTTTGTGCAAATATCTTTTTTTGGCAAATCTAAATTGGTTTCTTCAAAAGCTCTCCAAAAAAAGCAAATTTAAATATATTTCTTTAGACAATTATTTTCAAAATTCTTTTTTATAACTTAAAATAACTTTTTGAAATTCCAATATTTAAAAACCTCCATACTATAATTTCTATCTTTCACTGGAAAGATTTTCGTCGAATATTGGTAAAACCTTCAAAAAACATTGCACAAAATAATTTAAATGTAAATCAAATTGAACAAGCTGACCCAACCAAGTAAATATTCGATTTCAACGCAATATAAAAACAATTACTTAACTTCTATTTTGTTTCAGAAAGATACTGGTTCAGTATCACCCCACCAAGGTAGATTATACTTCAGTTATTTTTATAATAGCTTAAGAACCCAGCGTTGCCCATAGTGCTCATAGTTACTCCCGCCGTTTACCCGCGCTTGGTCATAAATTAGAGACTAAAACTTTAGATATATAGATTCTTTAATTTTTGATATTGACGATATTCGCGAGTGATTTTTTATATATTGTCAACTTTTGGACATTTTTCGATGTTCTTAAAATATTCCGAGGACTTTTAATAACTCACTACCGCTAACACCACAGTTTGAAAATAAAAGTTTAAATTTTATATTCTCATTTTGGATTTTCAAATCTCACTTTTTATTTTTTTCATGAATCTCACTACCTCAGAACTTGACACTTTATACTTTTATTTTATAAAACTGGGGCATTTTATACCTACAGAATAACGGTTGACTAATAGTTTAAAATTGATTGTCTGATTCACAGCGGTATAAATTAAACCTTGGTTTAAACCAAAAGATATGAATATATTTTTGTTAAATTCTCTGAAAACTGATAATATCCTGTTGTATGCAACAGAGACAAAAAATGAAACTGACATAATTTTACACTAATGTGTAATCAATGAGATTTTCTTCCTTGTGGCATAAATAAAGGTTTAAAGGGCACTGTTGTGAATCGAGCAAAGTTAAAATTACGCCGATAGTCTCTTTAATTTAGGTGGGATTGTACAGAGATCTAAATCGGAAAGTAGTTTAGGAGATATTTTACTTGAAGGAGATTCAACCAATAAAACAGGTTTATTATATATAGTTTAGGAGATATTTTACTTGAAGGAGATTCAACTAATAAAACAGGTTTATTATTAAAATACATTTCCTACGGTGCTATTCAAAATAAACTGAAATAATTTTAATTGATTGAATACTACAAAGTCGTCTTCGGCCTTAGAAATAGTTTGCGGCAAACCTAATTATGGCAATATTTTTTTTATAAAACAATAATCAAAAACAGCCTTATAGTGCAACCATTTCCAAAATGTGGTCTTAATAAAACGAAAATAAAGAAAAAATCTTTATATTTCTTGTATTTTTGCGCGTAATTTCAAGTTACCCTCCATGCAAAGATGACATGGCCACGGTACCTTTAAAACCTTAATTTGATCAATAATGTTAAAGATATTGTAGTTTTTCTAGGTTTAAAAGTGTTTATTTCCTATTTTTTTCTGATTTACCTAATTAGGGTCAAACGACCTAGGGTCAAACGACATAGGTTAAGACGACCAAGAGTCAAACGACATATAGGGTCAAAAACGCGATCATGAATAAGACGACAAAGGGTCAAAGTGTGGCAAACGGCCAAACATCTATTTTTAAGAGACAACCCATTATTTAACATTTAAAAGGCCGCAGTGCTCGACCCCCTCGCCAATCCTAGCCGCAGCGCTCGGCCCAGAATTTGTCTTAACCTAACCTTACCCAAATTTATGTGAGAGACAGTACATTTTTTAACATTGTAAAAGAAAATTTTGAAGAAATAGTTTTGTCATTTTATCTTTTATCTTTTGACCCTTGGTCTTTTGACCCTAGGTCGTATGACCCTGGCCGTTTGACCCTGGTTGTTTGACCCTGGTCGTTTGATTCTGGTCGGTTGACCCTATGTCAGTGAACCGTTTTTCTGGAACAGAAATGCGCAAGTAACTTCTCTTGGAGAACTCAGAATTGAAAATAATCAGTTTAAAGTATTCTAAACATCTTTATCTATCTCATATCTTATAATACTTTATCAGACAAAGGGAATAAATGATTTTTTGTATTTTTGTAATTGTTGAAATATGGATTATGTTATAACTTGTATAATAAGAATAATTATACAAGTCTAATATTAAAGAACTCAATATCTATAGAAATTATAAACTGGAAAACAAATTCACCTCTTCTTTAAGGTTTAGCATAAATAATAACTCAAAATCAAATCTAAAATGTTTTGAATCTCTGTAACCAGATAAAACTTCTTTTCTCAAATTTCTATATAATATCAAAACTAGGAGCGTTTAGATTACACAGTCAGGAGTAATTTGACCGTCTCCTTAATCCATGTCTAATTAGCAGTTTCCACACTTTTTAATTCTGCACATGGTTAATCCCGATTGGGATATTTGTGTCTAAAATAGATTGGGGGTGAGATGCATGTTTCTAGTTCAACTAACAAGTAACATTATACCTCTTAATATATAAAAATGTTAAGGGTACAAGAGAGAGTTAAATAAAAAAACATTAAAAAATAGTCATTTTTATTTTTGACAAATTTTTGAAGTTTGAGTGTTCTAGTTTAACTTCTAAGATTATAGTTGGGCACATGAATTTTCTTTAATTTTATATTGTTTTCTAGGCTAAATAAAAACTAAAATTTTTGGAAAAATAAATTTTAAAAAACTAATTTCAGACGACAGCCGAAAATCTTCTCCAGAAATATCTATTACAGATGAAGAGAACCCTAGGTATAATTTTATAATACATTATTTTAACTTTATTAATAGCTTTTAAGTTATTGTTCCGGAATTATGTTCACAACTTTTTGTTCAATACCCATAATCTTGATCCATTGATCTCGATATCCACAGTAGGCACTAATTGCATTTTAAGCAGAATTTTGTCCTAATTCTGAACTGTACAATTGGAGTAAATTACACTTCGGAAGGAATGCTTGAGATTAAAATCCAAATAGAATTAGTCCGCAGATTAGGAAAAGATCGAAATCTTAAGCATTTCAGCTAGATTTATTTTTTAAAAACTTTTTTTATAACAAACTAAATTAAGAATTGAGAAGAATTGATTGAGTCTTTGCGGCAAACTAAAATTTTCTAGTCCCTATATATTTGCAACAAGATGGTGTAAACCTCTGATATTTCAGTTAAATGTAGATAATTTGATCGAACAGAATTTAAAGTTGAAGTATCAAAGGTTTACGATAATGGGTTGGAAAGAAATATGAATTAAAAAATCGGTATTTTTGGTAAAAACTAATTTTTCCCACGTATTCCATAATTGTTTTTTTCTTGTCAAATCATTTTGAAAAGTTTTTGTTCAGGAGAGGAGTGGTTCGAACTGACAGTGTAAAAACTCAGGTATATAATTAAACAAATATTATATCACTTTTCTGTAAGGAATTTACTTCAATGATTCCTGTTTTGAAACTTGTTTACTTAAAAAAAACTTATAATCTAATTAAATCGAATTTACCACAATTTAATACTGAGATATCAAAGAAAAAGGAAAAATTGTGTTTATCGGTCTTAATTTTTTTTTGTAAGAAATTCTATTATTTTCTTATTTTGAACTCTGTTTTAAAGAATTAAATATACACAAATGTCCTGGGCAGTCGTATATAGTATTAGAACTATGCAAGTTAAAGGAAATGTCCGGCTGCACATAGCAGTAATAATTCTCTCTGATTATCTAATTTACGTATATATTTAAAGATTTTTTTTTAAATTTAATAACAACGGAGAAAAATGTATATAAAAAAAAATATAAGATCCTCCCCGATGAGTGTACTTGTTCTAGTCTGGTTTAAGACTGCTGGAAGAAAAGATGAATCTTCTTGCACACTTACAGGATCAAGAGGATAGGAAAAGGTAAACACCACACAAAAGTTCCAGGTTAGTGATTGCAAATTTAACCAGGCGTAACCTACAGTCAGACCGAGTCAACCTAGTTGCACCAGCTAGCCCTGCCTGCTAGGCCAACTTTATTGTCCCCTGTCGTATGCCAGACATTGTAGTTGGTGTACCGGGCGGGGCAGTACAAACTACGACCAACAACGTTGGTTCAGCTAAGATTAAAGTGTACAGGAATTGAGTGTGACACTTCAAACTAGGAGGTTAACTTTGTGCGACACTACTGGAACGAATTTGTGACCTTCTCTAGTTTTGATTTTACACATGAGTATTATAAAAGCAAATATATCCAGTTAGCATTTTTTTTTAGGTTTTTAATAATGATCTTACAGGCAATTCACTTAAATTTTATGTATAAATTAAGTTTAATTAAACGTTGTAAATCTGTACTTTTACAATAACACGAGATCAAGCTGTAGTGAAACATTTCTACAGCTTAAACCTTCTACAGATTTTGTAATTGTCGCGCGCGGCGCGAAGCGACGAGATTTCATGTTTTCTCGATATTTAGAGAGATAGAGAGTAAGCTTGAGAGTATTGGAGATCAGATGTCACATGTCGAAAAATCAAGGTATTCTCAAAATTTTGAAATAAAAGTCACTGACTGCCTACTGCCTGAGTCCTCAGGCATACTGCATAAATGCCTTATTTTACCCAAGGATGTAAGGCAAGGAAAGTCATTTCAGAAGTGTACACATCTTTAGTACTGCAGTGTACTGTCTCTTGGCGCTAATGTAAACACAAGACGGATGTCGAAACCTGACATGGGATCCATCATTCACATAAAAAATCAATGAAATATTTTGGTCAGAGGAAACTATTATGTGAATTATCAAAATTATCAAAATTTAATGCTTTTAACCTCCTCGGATACTAAACGAACACTGATGCATCTATTATTGTTTACAAATTCCGCCCAGAGAGAACTGGTTTCAATATGTACACAGAGTGTACACAACCGCAATTGAATTTCCTTGCCTTACATTCTTGATTTTACCTATACCAGACTAAACCTATATTTAGACCTACTTCCAGTCATTGGATTTCAACATTTTATAGCTCTTTGGAAAGCCTATAACAAAAGCAATCAGATTGCACAATTTTTGCAAAGAAATATTGCTAAAAGCAAAAAGTTTTTAACAAATTTTAGATTTGAGAAAAAGGTGAATTTCTTATTCTAAACTGCGTAGAGTCTCTGCTAGATCTCAACTGCTCGTTCAACCGCTCCTGCATGAGTTTTTTTTCTTCAAAGTATATATCATTCGCTGTTTCGGTTTATTAAATGATCTATTTTTAAATACAAAAACAAAGTATAGTTTTTTATTCTTGGTTTCATTAGAGATGGAATAGATTATTAACAATCGATAATGATCGTTAACGACCTAAACGAACTTCCATAGCTAGTAAACTATATTTTTTTAAAAGTTTTTAAAGTTAGGCATAATTGAATAACAATGCAGAAAGAACACTAGATGTCGTCTTTTCAAGATTTAGGGGTTTTTCGTTTACAATAACCTTGAGTCAGAAGCCCAAAGGAGCTACGGGCATTCTCTCTGTCTTACTCCTGAAATTCAACACGACATGCGCGTAACTCCTTTGGGCTTCTGCCTCAGGTTTATTAATCTATGAATTTAGGTATAAACTCACTCAGATCAAGAAAGAGGAAGGTTTAACTGCTGAATACTCAAACCAACAGCTTCTAAACCATCTCAATAGGTGAAAAGAACTGAACAAGCAACTTCATGGATGTTAGGAACTTTCCCAAAGGTTTTCCTGAGCAGCGCGCAACTTCGCATGGTTACTCTTCCAAGTGCCAACTTTCCAAGTCTTTCCTAGCTGCAGCGCTCGGCCCCCCCCTCCATTGAAACATGTTGCGCTTTAGAAGTTATAGCCAAATCTTTTGGAAGTTGCCGCTTGGGACATTGCACATTTGGGAAGTTTTTACTTGGAAAATTGTCACTTGGAAAGACGCCCTTGGGAAAACGCCTTTGGGAAAATACCAAACACCAGTTCAAGTGAGCCTCTATGTTAGAGCTATAAAATACAACTTTGTCTAATCAAAAATGATGAAGAAACTGTTTTTTCTTCTTCTTAAAATAGATAATGTTTGGTTACAGCATTAACGTCACAGCTGCAAATAATTGATATATGAAGCTGTTATATATTCACAATTTCAAATTGGGATTTAAGAACAATTAAAAAGTAGGATTTTTTTAGCGCATTGTTGAGCACGACCGTTAAAAGCTGCAATGAAAAAAGACATTGAGAATTTTAGTTTATTTATAACCTTATTTTCAATACCTTTGATATTGTTAAGTTAAATTTACGTTAGAGCAAATAAGTTGAGTTTAAAATATTACAGGTTTACACTGCAGTAGGTTTCAAATATAAAGGGATTAGAAATATTTGATTTGTGGAAAGAACTCAGCTAGTTCTTTCAGAGTATAAAGTTTTTTTTTGTTTGAGACTAGTTACAGGGTAAACAAGGAGTTTATTGTTCAATGTAAACGTACTGAAGTAAACAAATATTGTTTGTATAATCATAGAAAATTGGGCTATCTTGAAAAAGAACATACCGAGTTAATGGATGCATCTCTTAATCTAAAGGTAACTTTTAAGTATATATGTCATTAATTTTAAAAAAAAAATGAATAAAAAATAAGACCTAAAATTGGATTGTTTATTTTTGACCGAATATTATTTGAGTTCATGTAACCTCAAACTCTGATTGTTAAATCTGGATAGATTTGCAACCCGAACAGTTAAAATTAAACATTTAGTTGAAATAGTTCAAATTATCAATCGTTTACAAAGGTTTCAGTTTGAGACGAGTTATCAATTTCTTTAGCTCAGTAAATCCATGCACTCTTCTGAAGTGGAGGGCTTGTTTTGAATCTTCATGACAGAAAGAAGGGTTAACCCAGACCGAAATATATTTTCAAAACTAACATTCTGTGAGGGTTGGAGCATCGTCAATACTAAATTTTAGATCTATAATTTATCATAGGACAGGATAATTTTGATTTAATTAATTCAGTTCCTATAATAATCATACAGGGTGTACCAACAAACGCGTGAATTAAGTTACAAAGACGTTCTATATCTTAATTTCAATGGTCATGGTTTATTTCGTGTAAAAGGCTGGTTTGTCATTCGCCAAAACGTTACATGATGAAGGAAGGGGTGGCTGCTCTCAGGTTTTTGGAGTACTCCCAGGATTTTGGAGTGCTCCCAGGATTTTGGAGTACTCCCAGGATTTTGGAGTGCTCCCAGGATTTTGGAGTACTCCCAGGATTTTGGAGTGCTCCCAGGATTTTGGAGTACTCCCAGGATTTTGGAGTGCTCCCAGGATTTTGGAGTACTCCCAGGATTTTGGAGTGCTCCCAGGATTTTGGAGTACTCCCAGGATTTTGGAGTGCTCCCANTCCCAGCACTCCAAAACCCTGCCTGGGAGCAATTCCAAAAACCTGAGAGAAGCCATCCCTCCCTGTATGAAATATGTCTAAAACATTTTTGCAAATCGGGCATTTATGGATTTTGTTTAAATGCATGAATATACGATTTTTTTACGTTTGTCTAAAATCTACCTCACGAAATAATTACGGATGAAAGCTCTCATAGAAGACATCCCCACACTGAATAAGAAAAAAAATTTAAAGACGATATCAAAATTGTCACTCAACTTTCATGAGTTTTTTTTGGGACACCCTGCTTATTTAAAACTTTTTAGGCCAGTTTATCCGATCAAAAAGAAGCCCAGGACAGTATCACGCAGAAACTTATAAACAAAATTGATGCTTTTAACGCAACTAAACTAGGTAGGAAACACCAATTTCTAAAACATGCATTTTCAGAACCCTTTTAAAGTCATAGAGTCCTGCAAATAATACACCGATTATCACCCCCTTTTTACCGTTGTTTCCTGCATTTTCTTTGGGATTTTTTTTACTGTAAAACAAATTCATAAAAATTGAAATTTTCATTATTTACGCCTTTCATCAAATTGTTGAAATTATCAATTTTTAAAATGATAATTTAAATATTTACTTTGCTATTCTGTTTGTAAGTCTTTTTTTTGTATTCAATAAACGTAAAAACGGCTGAACCGATCAATTTTAACATTTTTGAGGCAACTCTCTCAGAATAAAATTTTCCTCCAAAATTTAAAATTTTTGTGAAATTTTTAAAAATCCACAAAAAAAATATTAAATCCGCCAACATATTTGTACGATTTTATTGTTCTATAGAGAAGAGATGCTCTATAAATAGAGCCACAATTAAAAGTTAAAATAGCTAAAATAGAAATGTTTTTTTTAGAGTATTCAAGAATAAATACTGTACAGGGTAACCCGCAAAAAATGAACTAAAACTTGAAAAAATATAACTGTTTCAAGGTTACATTTTGTATTATGTTTTGCATATAGTTTTTATTGTACATTTAATAATTAGGGTAAAAACATGTTATACAGTTAATTGCAGGGAACAATAAGAAAAAACGAAAAAAAACGGACTTCATAAACTCCGTACAGTCGTCTCTGAAGTCTCATTCTTTGTGGGTAACCCTGAACTATTTATTCTTGAAAGCTTAAAAGTCATTACTATTTCAACAATTGATATTTTCATCAATTTGATATTTGATAAGTAGAAATTTTTAAATTATCTGACATTTCAATACTTTTAAACTATTAATTCCTTAATTTAGGCTCAAGCCCGGACACGAATATTTCATCATTGAGGAACATTCAGAAGCTGTCTAACCATCTAGAGAATCATGTAAACATATTTCATAAGTTAAAGAAAAAGTTGTCATTTTTTTAGCTTTAAAAGGGCTGTCTGACTAATTTTTGTAATGTCCTTTAATAGAAGGGCATGTCCAATTCACAACGGGACCCTTTAAACCTTTGTCTCATCAAGATTAAATGAAATATTCTATTTTAGCTAAAATTTCTCAAATTTTGAATCTCCTTCAAAGGGATTTTTTTTATTTATATACGAGAATATAAAAACTGTCATTGCCACGCAAGAAATGGTTTTAAAGTTTAGCTTTGTGAATTGGCCATGCGATCTCTTTTTATGAAGGGTTACTGAAGGGTTATTTATGAAGGGTTATGGAGCCATTCCCGTGAACTACTTTTCAACCAAGATGCTTTCAAAATAAATACTAAAATATTTTTTTCTTTATGTTAGACAATAATTATTTAAGATTTAAAATTGAAATTTTCAGGCCAAAAACCTTCAGTGCTTGTTGCATAAAGTTTCTGAAAACTGCGGAAGAAAAGATGAATCTTCTTG